CCCTTTGTCTTGATCCATGGTATCGGAATACATATTCAAATGTTAGAGATCTCCCTTTGTCTTGATCCATGGTATCGGAATACATATTTAAATGTTAGAGATCTCCCTTTGTCTTGATCCATGGTATCGGAATACATATTTAAAAGAAGACAAACAATATTTTTAATGAAAAATGTTTAACAATATTCAAAAAGTATATCACAGAGCACCATCTTGTATAAACACAAGATCAACAAAATCACAGTATCAAAACAGGTACACGATTCTTTGCATTCAAAAATGGAGATGTCACAAAGACAATGTTCATACGAGCTGCAGACAACTGCGTCACACAGATGACAAAGAATTTTCTGAGTAGTTCATTAATCACTCAGCAAAATCAGCCAATCAAAATTCGTCTAGGAAGGATGCCATGGAAGCTGAAAGAATCTAAAACAACCTTCATATTAGAAAATACAATCACAAAATACGCTTTCGAAAAAATATGTTACGACACTGAAACCAAAATGTTAGTCTCTGACAAAGGCTGAACACATCATTTTATAGAACAGGCACCAAAACAGAGACAAATGTATGTCAATATTCTTAAAGGAGGACTTGGCTCTTCAAACTGGCAGTCCCAGATTCAAGTGGTTGAAAACTTAACTTTTAGAATACATATCAATCTTACACTTAATGATTTCCCACAACACAGATAAAGTATCAGTTTCACACAAAGAATTAATTACATCGAGAACTAAAATATAAATAGGCACCAGATGGTGAGCACAGTCCCCCTTTAAAACATTCTAAAATGGAAACAATTATGGCTAACAGGACTGGAAGAGTTTAAGGTGGCTTTCCATTGACAAATTTGAATCATTTGCTTGATGCTGCCAAGTAGTGGCTGAAAATATAAAGTATTATATTTTGAAAAAAAAAGAGTCTTCCATGCTGATTGGCTGCCAATAAGGCAAATTGGTTTATTGTTTTATAGTAATGACTTGAGCACTTAAAGAAGAATTGGAATGACCCAGAACTGGTATTCCCAAAACTAAGCCAATAAAGTTTATCTTTTGGTTGAAAATATTTTATTTAACAGTGTTGTTTAACCTACGATGTATAAAGAAGAATTGCTTGGTTATTAATGTCATTTGCAGCGTTAAGATGCTGCATTTATCTGGGTACGTGGTTTGGCAAAGACAACTAAAATTATGAGACAATCCCCGAGATCCAGATGTCAAATATCATAGGCGGATCCACAGAGCAAGAGAGCAAGAGAGAGAGAAAGAGAGAGAGAGAGAGAGAGGGAGGGGAGGGGGAGAGAGAAAGAGAGGGAGAGAGAAAAAGAGAGGGGGAGAGAGCGCACCCCACTCTTTTGTCCTGTAAGTTTATTAAATGACCATTGAAACTCTCGTGAAAATGAAGTGTACACCCCCCACCCCCTTCTCAAAAAGCTGTATCTGCCTCTGAATATGGGCCATACTAATATTCCCTTCACTATCTCTTCATACAAGTTGGGTATTTGAAGGTGCATGTAGTGTGTCTAAATGTCAGGAAACTAGCAACATGGTTTCAAACATTGTCAGTGGAAAGGTGACCCTGAACACTCTACATCCCTGAAACATGTCATATACAATGGTGAAGAAATGGAACCACATAACTGAACAAAGTGTGAATTCACTACTCGATTTCAACTTAACAATTTCAATTTTGTTTGTGAGGATAAACATTTTCATATCACAACACCATGTGCCACAATAATTGTAAAGAGTGAGTGAATAGGGTTTTATGTTGCTTTGAGCAATAATTTGGTAATATCCGGGCTTTCAGTACCCTTGTACCACTAATGGTGTTTATTGGAGAACCAACATTACTTGAATTGAACAGACAACGCAGAATCCAAATAACACGGAATGTTAACGACCTTGGACTTTCAAAGATCTGTGGTTGCATTGCTCAATACAAATACATCATGTCATCAGAGTGACTGACTGACTGAGTTCGGTTTTACGCCGCTTTTAGCAATATTCCAGCAACATCACGGCAGGGGACACCAGAAATGGGCTTCACACATTGTACCCATGTTGGGATTCGAACCCGGGTCTTCGGTGTGACGAGCCAATGCTTTAACCACTAGGCTACCCCACCGCCCTCAGAGTGAGTGAGTGAGTGAGTATGGTTTTACGCCGCTTTTGGCAATATTAACCAGCAATATCATGGAAGGGGACACCGCAAATGGACTTCACACATTGTACATATGTGGGGAATAAAACCCGGATCTTAGGCATGTCTAGCGAACACTTTAACCACTAGGCTACTCCACCGCCCCTCATGTCATCAGACCACTCCACTTAGTTCAATGCCTTTCAGTAAAAAAGTCAAGTTGTTCATATCAGGGAGCAGAAATTCACACTTTGTTCAAATGGTTAGTGGAACAATGTGAAACAGCAACAAAACACATTGGTGAAGGTGATACTTATCTCACAAAGGACATCCAACAATAGCATTTCCCTTCAACACAATATCTCACACAAGAAATTATATCCCCAGACCAGACCAAATACTTGTCTTACAGATCAGTCATACTCTGTCGTTACTGAAGCTAAAACATCTTCCGTAAAAGTGAGACTACACCAGGAAATACAGCACAAATTAATATTTGATGTTAATTTTTAAAAACACCCTAAAGTATTTTTACATTTGTAATGTTTTAAAATCCCATAAAACAAGCAATGAAACTGATCTGGCCTGAAAATGAGACAAAATACTTACCATAACTTAAAGCTCTAGAGGCCCCTAAATATTAGACAATTATTTGAATAACTTAGCTGTTTAATACTGCTCTGAATTCTGTTGGACGGAATTCAAATCCACATTTTGAGGTTTCTGGAATGTCCATTGGACAGGATTTAAATCCACAATTTAAAGTGTCTGCCACGTCTGTCGGACAGAACTTTTCACAACAAACACAGTGCCATGTATGACTGGTGCACCCATGTAACCCCTATAATACATGTATATGGAAGATACGGTTGGTTGGTTTGTTGTTCAACGCCACACTAAGCAATATTCCAGCTATATGGAGGGGGTCTGTATATAATCGAGTCTTGACCAGACACGTCTTCATCAGCATGATCATCAATCTATGAAATTGGGATACAATGACATGTGTCAACCAAGTCAGCGAGCTTGATCACCCGATCCTGTTAGTCGCCTCTTACGACAAGCATGGGTTACTGTAGACCACTTCTAACCCGGATCTTCATGGGTTGCAATATACGGACAAAAATCATTCAGAGCAGTACACGGGAGATACAACTACAAGAGACAAGGACGGCTACTTCTACCATCTACACGTGACATCACTGACAAGCAAGTGGTTGAGTGATGACGCTGGGCCCCAGCAGGTAAAGGGAGACAACTAGTGCTACTTCTACCCTCTACACGTGACATCACTGACAAGCAAGTGGTTGAGTGATGACGCTGGGCCCCAGCAGACAAAGGACGACAATTAGTGCAACTTCTACCATTTTTGTTAAGACACAAAAGATTAATGCTGAAAATGAATTTCATGAGGTCAGGTTAATACATAGTGTGAAATATGCACTTTGTTCCGTCCAAACCAGACAGGAAATATAAGATTGACATATGTCATATGACTATTTCCTAATACCTCCTGATAATGCAATACCTTAAGAGCGTCACCTCTAAATATACAAGACGCATACTACCTGTGAAGAAGTTTGTGACAGTACAAAGAAAGTTTGGCACCAACCATTCAATATATCCATATATCACACAGCTGTTAAACAACATTTTAAACTTACAATTCTCATGTTTCAGTTTGGGGCTTGCACCTGAATATCAACAGAGGGTGACAATCTAACATTCCTAAATCTGATGTCTATGTACTCGCTGTGATCTTCATCAAACTATGGACTTATATTATATTGTGTTGTTGTTTTTTATCGCCCCAAGAGAAAACATAAAGTAAAACACATACACGGATCTAACAAAATCCATGTACCAATTTCCCAGTTTAATGTCAACTGTTCGGGTGGACGACTCCAATGTTGCTATAGAAACAATTGTTAAGTTGTTTCTGAATTGTATATGTGTTCCTGAATTGTATATGTGTTCCTGAATTGTATAGGTGTGCCCGAATTGTATAGATGTTCCCGAATTGTATAGGTGTTCCCGAATTGTATAGATGTCCCCGAATTGCATAGGTGTTCCCGAATTGTATAGATGTTCCCAAATTGTATAGGTGTTCCCAAATTGTACTGGTGTTCCTGAATTGTACTGGTGTTCCTGAATTGTTAAGTTGTTTCTGAATTGTATAGGTGTTCCCGAATTGTATAGATGTTCCTGAATTGTACTGGTGTTCCTGAATTGTACTGGTGTTCCTGAATTGTTAAGTTCTTTCTGAGGTGTATAGGTGGTGGTGGAATTGGGTTTAACGTTGTGCTTGAGAATATTTCACTCATATGACGACGTGCATGCGTGGGTATGTGTATGTGCAGCTGCTTGTACTAGCCCAGACTTAAGCTGGTTTTATAGTGCTAGCTCACTGAGATACCATGCCGCAGTGAAGCATGAATACCCCACTCAGACGCATTATACCGACTCCGAGCCAACCAGTCCTTGTTGTACCCATTAATGCCGAGCGCCAGGCAGGGACCAACAAGTACCATATTTTAACGACTTTTGGTATGACGCAGTCGGGGATCAAACCCGCGACCTTCCGCACTCCGGGCGGACGCTATAACCACTACACCACGGAGGCGGTGAATTGTATAGGTGTTCCCGAATTGTATAGATGTTCCCAAATGGTACTGGTGTTCCTGAATTGTTAAGTTGTTCCAGAATTGTACTGGTGTTCCTGAATTGTACTGGTGTTCCTGAATTGTTAACTTCTTTCTGAATTGTAAAGGTGTTCCCGAATTGTATAGATGTTCCCAAATTGTATAGGTGTTCCCAAATTGTACTGGTGTTCCTGAATTGTACTGGTGTTCCTGAATTGTTAAGTTGTTTCTGAATTGTATAGGTGTTCCTGAATTGTATAGGTGTTCCTGAATTGTATAGGTGTTCCTGAATTGTTAAGTTGTTCTGAATTGTATAGGTGTTCCTGAATTGTATAGGTGTTCCTGAATTGTATTGCTGAATTGTATAGGTGTTCCTGAATTGTATAGGTGTTCCTGAATTGTATAGGTGTTCCTGAATTGTTAAGTTGTTTCTGAATTGTATAGGTGTTCCTGAATTGTATAGGTGTTCCTGAATTGTATAGGTGTTCCTGAATTGTACTAAGGTGTTCCTGAATTGTATAGTTGTTCCTGAATTGTATAGGTGTTCCTGAATTGTATAGGTGTTCCTGAATTGTATATGTTCCTGAATTGTACTGGTTTCTGAATTGTATAGTTGTTCCTGAATTGTATAGGTGTTCCTGAATTGTACTCCTGGTGTGTTCCTGAATTGTTGTTCTGAATTGTATAGGTGTTCCTGAATTGTATAGGTGTTCCTGAATTGTATAGAATGTTCCTGAATTGTATAGGTGTTCCTGAATTGTATAGGTGTTCCTGAATTGTACTGTTGTTCCTGAATTGTATGTGTTCCTGAATTGTATGTGTTCCTGAATTGTATAGGTGTTCCTGAATTGTATTCCTGAATTGTATAGGTGTTCCTGAATTGTATAGGTGTTCCTGAATTGTATAGGTGTTCCTGAATTGTATAGTTGTTCCTGAATTGTATAGGTGTTCCTGAATTGTATAGGTGTTCCTGAAGTGTTAAGTTGTTCCTGAATTGTATAGGTGTTCCTGAATTTATAGGTGTTCCTGAATTGTACTCCTGAATTGTATAGGTGTTCCTGAATTGTACAGGTGTTCCTGAATTGTATAGGTCAGCTGTGTCTGGTGCCCGAGTTGTGTTTTGTACAACACTTGAAGGTCTAATACAAATGAGTCTGATTTGAAAGGAATCAAAGGCACACTTCAACCACAACAGCAAACCTTGTCTGACAAACAAATTCTGGTCTCCATCCACTAAGCATTTGTACTGTTATGACCTATCGTAGCCATATAGTTCATCAGTTTTTGAGAATTATGTGTTGTCAAAAGCTCTGAACACGCCCCACAAAGCTCTGAACACGCCATGTTTAAGTACGGGGAAAGATGCAACCTCAATCTGCTACTAGATGATCAGTATGTTTAAGTAATACTTTAAAGCAGTATGCCTACTATATTGTTGTAGCAGTATGTTTAAGCACAGGAGTTTAAGATGATCGTAACTCATATTATAGAAACATGCTCAATAGTATTTTAAATGTATGCCTACTATATTGTTGTAGCAGTATGTTTAAGTACAGGAGTTTAAGATGATCGTAACTCATATTTTAGAAACATGCTTTCTACATAGTTGTAGCAGTATGTTTAAGCATGGTAATTCAAGATGATCGTAACTCATTACTTTAAAGTATGCCTACTATATAGTTGTAGCAGTATGTTTAAGTACAGGAGTTTAAATGATCGTAACTCATTGCTTTAAAATATGTCCACAAAATAGTTGTAGCAGTATGTTTAAATTACAGGAGTATAGATGATCATGTAACTCATATTATAGAAATATGCTTTCTACATAGTTGTAGCAGTGTGTTTAAGTATAGGATGATTGTAACTCATATTATAGAAATATGCATTCTACATAGTTGTAGCAGTATGTTTAAGTACAGGAGTTTAAGATGATTGTAACTCATATTATAGAAATATGCATTCTACATAGTTGTAGCAGTATGTTTAAGTACAGGAGTTTAAGATGATTGTAACTCATATTATAGAAATATGCATTCTTTATAGTTCTAGTTCTCTGTTAGAGTATGGAAGTTTAAGATGATTGTAACTCAGATACTTTAGAATATGCTTTCTATTTAGCTGTGGTATGATGCTTAAGTGAGTGAGTGAGTGAGTGATGAGTAACTCATATTAGTAGAATATGCTTTCTACGCTGCTTTAGCAATATTCCAGCAATATCACGGCAGGGAACACCAGAAATGGGCTTCACACATTGTACCCATGTGGGGAATCGAACCCGAGTGACGAGCCAACACTTTAACCACTAGACTACCCCACCGCCCCTGATGCTTAAGTATGGGAGTTTCAATCACCTTAGCACTGAGATCGCTTTTGATACAGTCCCTGAACGATATGACTACAATGCATAATTTTCAAACAGAGCATATCTGTAAGGGGAATTGAACCCAGTCTAAAGAGCTGATGCTTCAACCACTGGGCTACTGATACCCCTTCACACTGCAAGAAATCTGTAATTTCAAACAAGATTTACTATTAACATAAACCCGTGCCTGTACAAAGAAAAGATGATAAAACAGTGACCTCAAACAAGTATGAAACAATGAAACAATGAAACAATGTACATCCAGCAAATTTCTAGTCAAATACATCTGAACCCTGATTATAAATCACAAACACAATAATACACCTGCACAACATTGTAAATATGTTTCCCTTACAGAAAAAACTATGGGTTGAAAAACCAGCATTCAAATAATGAATTTCTTTTTGACAAATCTTTATCGTAAGTTAGAAAAAGATATTTAACAAAAAGTAGCAGATAGGCTTTGGTGTATGTCATTTCTTGGAGCCAAAATTGGAATAAAACAATAACTTTTGCTAGACAAACAAATATTACAACCTGCCAAGACGTGAAAATGAATGGCAAACAATGGGCAGAATATTTCATAACAAACGATTTTAGACCAAAAAGTCAGCATCTTAGTATCCTTTCTAAAAGTGACAACAAATAGGTAATAGTCTGACTATTCTCTTCTTGTTGTTCCTTTCATTTTCATATCTTTAATGAATGAAATATAAAGCACCAAGAAAATCGTTCAATCAATGTAACAATGTATATGAATACAAAATATTGGATTAACATCAACAGATGTCAAAAACAAATAATTCAACAATTGTAAAAATATAAAAATGCAAATTAATACTCACCAAAAGGTTAAATAGGACCACTATCTGTTAACTAGCTCAATGTTGAGTAAAACTGTCTTACATCACATCTCAATTTCTGCGACAAAAGTCCCTGGACTGGGACAATATGGACATCTTCATCTGGGCAAAATCACAGTTCTAGCATTCATCAAGAAAATAGCACCTTTTGATTCCCTCAGGTTAACAGCAGACGTTAACATTCTTCAGGAAAATAGTACATATCTGAAGAGGGTGAAGCAAACACTATGGCTGGCGATTCACAATCATGAGCGTCACTCTTGTGACAATGAAGCAACATACATCATCTACAAAAGACTTTGATGACTGGAATAATTGCGAAGTACGTGTAAAGTACTTTTCCACATTCACCGGAATTAAGTTCATATAAATCTTTCTGGCTAGAGTACTGGCATATTGTCATTCTGCAATAAATGTAATCACTGGTGTACATTTCAATAAAGATCAGTGTCCCATGTAAAACACTTCAATATGTATGAAAGGGTAATATGTACCACGTCATACCATGTAAGCATAACAGGATCTGCATTTATTCTTCATATTCATATAAGATGTTTCTTATTTATTTTCTTTATTGTGTATGTTATTAGCTACTGTCTTATTGTAATAAGAAATTTCCTACATGCTACTAGCAGATTATAAAATTTAACATTTTGACCACAAAATATACAAAAGTCTGGCACAAGACCAAATTTCACTATTGAGATAACCTACACAATTGTCTTGTGATGCACCAACCATAGACAGACATTTCAGTCATGAATAAAGTCAAACAAATCTCCTTCTACAGGGTGTATTAAGGAGACCCTGAAGTCAATGTCAGGAGCTGTGAATGGAATGAGTGTTGAAGTGCTTGTAATGGGGGGATGATTTTTGATAGATAATAGGATGATTTATTTTATTGAACAAATGTTCTGGGGTGAGGGTTGAACCCCCAAAATTATGACTAAATAGCAAGCTATTACTTTACAGTTATTATTGGGGAATAACCTAAATGTTTCCACTGGTAAGTGTAGTGTTGGGACTCAGCAAAGATTTACAATGTCACAATAAGACTAATATTTATCTGTGGTCTGAGTTGGAGGCGATTAGGACTCCATCGCGGGGGTCGTCTTATGTACGAAACATACCATTTTGACACTGATTTAAAGGGTCAAGTTAGGGGTTGGCTTATCTATGAGATTGGCTTATCTACTGTAATATACAGTATTTATGCACGAAAACAAAATTAACTGCTGATAAACACAAAAATAATTTCTCACTTATAGAAAGGTGGTGAAGGTCATGTGTCTAAGATTTTAGTGGAATAGGGTGTGGATTCCAAATGGCAGGGATGGCCACAGGAAAATCTATTTTCAGCTGAAAACTTAATATTGTGTCATCGAATGCTGGGTTCTGGGGGGAATTGAATTGATCAATTTGAAGTAAAATTGGCAGAAATCTGCGGATCAGCAGAAATGTGCCATAACTGATGACAACCTTCTGTTTTGGGTTCTGCCGCTCTCAGCCATATTCCAGCTATATGGCAGCAGTCTGTAAACAATCAAGTCTGGACCAGACAATCCAGTGATCAACCTGGTAATTTAAAACCTTTATAACTTACCAGTAATGTATATGTCCAAAACAAACAAAAGGGAGACAGGAAGTCTTCTATAGCAGCAGGCACACTTTTTAACTACTGGATCAAATTCACAATTCATTAAAGGGGGGTTTGTTGATTGTCCCAGCAATATTCCAGCTATGTTACAGTGCCCTGTGACCCTCCAAGCCTGGACCAGACAATCCAGTGATTGACAACATAGCAACAATATTCAACATGAACAAGGTCGCTGAGCCTAATCAAGAAAGTTGCCTCTTATCAATTCTAGCCTAGTGGAAGAAAAGGGAAAATCATTTACATTGTAAAAGTAGATCAGGAGATCACATATTTTAGCAAGGAATAAAGAGCTGTCCAGTGAATAATATTTCATTAATTATATCTCTTTATTTTCAGTGTTGAGAGGGGTGGGTGGGGGGTGGTAGGGTAAAAATTATCATAATTATGATTATTTGGGGGTATTTTATAGATATATTTTAAACGAAATCCAAGGTCTCCTAAAAACGTCCAATGCTTTGTTCAGTTTAAACAACAGGGTAAGATTTGTTCTGTAATTTCTACAGAGGTTTCAACAAGTTGCTGGACAACTCGACACCTTTAACAGTAGCTTGACACTGATATTATAACCATTCCCATAGTTTCCGAACAAGCTGATCTTATGCCAGTTAAGACAATACAACAGTGACTGAGAATTAATGGTTCAACAAATCAACAACGTAATTGAAAAGTGACTTCATAGAAACTGAGCTGCAAATTTGTACTTGAGAACTCAACAGTTTTGGTACCACATTGATACATACTTACGACTAGAATAGATGGACAGGGAACATTTAGTAATGACATTAATCGACAATTACTGATATGTATGTTTCTAAAGTGGGTGTGATTCATAAGCAATTCATGCTAATGAACTCTAAATAAAAACATCATTATTGAGTTGTCAATATTTTTACTGCTTTTCGCTCAGGATACTCAGAGACTGTTATATTCTTGAATGAAGTTGTTGAAATGCTTTTAGAACTTGGGCGACCACGACTAGAATGATGAAGGAGCAAGAATTCGCTCTGAAACGTCGTATAACAATAAAGTGAAGTAGATATCTACAAAAAATATGTCATGTGTTATATTCTCATTCGTGACTGAACATTAACAGATCAACGGATTTCAAAACTAATGAATGATCTAGAATTCATTACTGATTCCCCAAACTGTTGTGAGTATGTCTACTGAAACTAAAACATGCATCACAGACAAAGACAACTTCTGATGACAATACGACTAATATGCCAGTACTCTGTTAACACCAGTGTCGGATCTCACTTGAGAAACCTCCAGGAGAGGGATGACTTTCAGCTGAATGAAATCAGGCATAAAACATGTCTGTCTCTAGTAAACAGACCATTTGGATCCTGGATATGCAAAAATATATTTCCCATATTGCATTAGAAACTGAACGGTCCAGTCCTATCTGAATTTACAGCGGTTGAGGTAGTTATACATTAGGTTTTCTTTACTTACAGAGCTAAAAACTGACTCAGGCCATATATTCCCACCTCCAAAATAGAGCTAAGGAGTTCTAGCAGAAACAAGTTTTTCGCAGTAAAAATATTATTTTATGCTTTATTCTATTACTCATAGTAACTGCTTTTATCATCATTTTTCCGCAGTGCAGTTGAAACTTACTGTGCTGTGTTCCCCCAAAACAGAAAAAAAATCTTACCCAAACAAACCATATAGTTTCATCATGATGCAACGTATTCTACCACCTCATCTCTGACAAAAAAGTTATCGAGTATCCAAATAAGTGACCCCTTTGTCAAAGTTCCAAGGGCAATTACTACAGCAAATATGACAAATCCCCAAATTAAAGGCAATTAAAGTGTCTTGTCTCATACAGACAACTTTGAATAAAAGAAACACAAATCCACGCAAAATGTGTTTATGAATGAAGACTCAGTCTATTTAAGAACCTACTTCTAACAAACCTGTCAACTCTCATGTTTTTGCCGTGTGTCTCATGTTTATTGTATGAAAATCACATTCTCATGGCCAGTATACTAATCTCACATTTTTTCATAAAAGTGCTTTCTGAATATTGCTATATGATGTTTCACCTCAAATAACAACTGTCTCTGATTGATTGGACCTAACACTTAAGCCCGGACACAAGGCAAAAGAGTAATATATATAAGCTTGCCAGCAAAAGCTTCCAGAATACAGCAAAAAATACAAAAAAATATAATCCCAACCCATTTTTTGGTTCTCACTTCCTGGACATATTTTGGGTTGACAGCTGTGTTTTAGTAGTGAGTTAGTTTGAACATTATTTCAGTTAATCGAGGCACAACATGGAAGAAATGCCCAATGTGATGCAGGTCTCCGACATTTACCACTTTGGAGTAACTCACAAACTATTGGTACAGTTCGACAAACCTAGACACCTAAGGGACCGTTCATAATTGATGCCTGTGTGTGAGAGAGATATGTGAGTGAGTGAGTGAGTGAGTGAGTGAGTGAGTGAGTGAGTGAGTGAGTGAGTGAGTGAGTGAGTGAGTTTAGTTTTATGCCACACTCAGCAATATTCCAGCTATATGCTGGCGGTCTGTAGGGGGATGATGATGATTTTTATGGAGAAGCATGTACAATGTGAATGACCCCCAATTTATGTACAAAATAAGTGCTCCCCACCACATCATGCACAAAATCAATGATCCCCCTCCCTTCCCATAATTTCTAAGCATAATTTTAAACATGTTTTAAGTACAAAATTGCTGACCCCCTAGTATGTGTGTGTACAAAATAGATGACCCCCACCCCCGAACAAAATGGGTGACCCCCATTAAAATCATTAGAACCTACAATTCTGGCTTTCTGGGCACCAAAGTAACACAGCTCCATGACCTCTGTTCCCTGTGAATAACCCTTGAATGTGCATTTAAGCAGGAAGGTAATACAATCACCCAGTGAAGAATACATGCCCAAAGCTAAAATTACATAGTAATCGAGACAAGCTTCATTGTGATGTTCAGAGAAGATACCCAGGCCCAAATATATCTGAATAACAAACATAATCTCTATGCAAGGCTTGTTTCCTATGAATATATTTCAATAATATGAAGATTTCAAAGTAATAGCTAATTCCACGAATGGGGTTTACATGAATATTGGACAAAAAATATTCTAGTGAGTCATCACAAATGAAGCCACCAGCTGTATAACTGGTAATTCCATATCATTTCACATTTGTTAACGGTCTATGCTCATTTCACAATGCAATTGATTTTTTTAAAGCATACCTGATTCACAAAAGTCATCCCAATCCTTGACAAAGTATATATTGAACATTCTCAGTGTTTCTTACCACTCACAACACTGATCAATTAGAAAACCAATTCTTAAGCACAATTCTTTTTTATTTTACAGCATATTTATCAATATACATCAGATTTGTTAATCTTCCAAAAATGTACATGAACCAGGTTGAACAAAATTAAAGGAACACTCTCTGTGTAATATAGGACCATGATTTCTTCGCATTCCGTTTGGGATTCAACGTCTATAGGATTCACAATCTTTGGGATTGAATGTCTGATGGATCAATGATTGGATTGAATGTCTATGGTCTCCAACATCTGGGATTTGAAGTGCAAAAAATACTGTCGTATCATCACAGTGTAAATACGAATGATATCGAACACAAGAGAGATATACTTGTTGAAATGATAACCTTTCGACCAATCAGACCTTACTTGCTGCACCTATTATTAAACAGTCACCTAACGTGTTCAAAATTACTGCGATGGCATCTGAGGACTTTCGCTTCCTCTCAATAGCACTTTATCATACATGTTGACATATTATATTAACAGGATGGTTAAGTGAATTTAGGAAAAAAAATAATGCTATCTTTAATATTCACTATTCACTGGTAATTATGAAATCATGACTTGGAATCTGTAGAATCATCATTGCAAAACTTTTTAATTCAGACACAGAATCTTTTCCAATATAGATCAGTTAGAACTAACAATAGCTGTCGGCCTACTAGATCTTTTCATTCATGCAAATGACTTATGAAGAAATACATCGCTCTGATTTGGAGTGGGGGTGGGATGGGGTGGGATGGGGTGGGGGGATGGAGGGTGGTGGAATGGAAGAAGGTGGGTTGTTTCTGTTTGGACATGTTGACAATGAGTTAGAGGGGGTTACTTCTTGTTTGATTGCTATTCAGCCAAATCATGGTGTCCATGTTTAACCTGAGAGAAAAGCCATAAGTTACAGTGGTGGTAGATATTTTTTACTTTGAGAAGAGAAATATTTAATGGGTAATGGAAGTTACCACTTGATCTTGGAAGGACACCCTGGGGTCTTCATAGAACAATTATAGGGTCTCATAACTTAACAGAGGGGGTATTATCTTGATGGGGTGGGGGTTTAACTTGATTGGAGGGATAGGGTGTAATAACCTGATTGGGGGTGGGTGGGGGTGTTTGTAACTTGGCGGGGGTTATCTTAACTGTTTACTGAGATGATGGTAGATTGTTGGGCAATATTTACTTGCTTGTTTTTACTCACAGATCAAGGGCATCTACAACTACTAATGCCCTGAGAAATAGCATTACCCTTACACCCAGGGGGATTATGAGATGTTCCATTAACACTTAGGTCTGGGAGCATTTGCATTGACACTCTTCACTTTTTCTGGAACGGAAATATGCCGGAAAATACCCTATCAAGTCTTTTATTATTCTTAGATTATTAATATTCTTGCTATTATTTCTACAACCTTGTAAATTACAGAATTCTTGAGTTCTGTACCCTTTTGCCAGTATTTGACAAGCCGACTGTATCCGAACCAGATACTGATCTCTAAAGTTTCGATTTCTTTGATTTTCTGTTCATAGCACTTTAAACAAGAATAAAACAAGGAAACTAAATCTCCTGTGATAATTAAAAAAACACACAGCCAGGACACATAGCTGAAATGACATAAAATCAGATCAACAAAGTCCTTCATAAAACTTTGTGTCAAACTAAAATTGAGGTTGATCCAAATCGGATACTCCCTATCTCCATATATACACACATTATTTAAATATCGCCTGGGGTCTTGTCTTCAGTTTACAGTTATTTACACGTCCTAAAACAATGATAAATAGGAATCCATTCTGATTTTGGTACAATTTTTTTATAAGAATTACTAACTCTCATGTTATATTGAATGTCACAGATCTTGACCAGCAACACAATCGCTACCACTGTTGCTGAGGAAATTCTTGAGTGAGACACAAACCATGTCTCTCTTTCATAGTCACAAATGTCTGACAGGAAATCGGAAGGTCTTCATCTTCAACACAGTCCTATCTTGTGATAAATTCTTCTAAAACAGACGGCCATCTTTCAACAAGACAGCCTCATCAGCAGAACTCATCAATCACAAATCAATGACATCTTGGGTTGGAACAACAGGTGACTGACCAATCAGAAATCAGTATAGTTCAAGGATGCAATGTTCTGATTCGCTATTTAAGCAATCACAAATCTGAGTCACCCAGGATGCAATGTTCCCATTTGCCATCTGACCAATCACAAAGAAGTACAATGCCAGGATGCAGTGTTACAATTTGCTAACTGACCAATCACAAACAAGGGCTATCCCAGGATGAAGTAGTTATATGTTGTGATTGCCCTCACAATACTTTAGTCTTTGTCCTTTCTTCTTGATTATTCTTTGGTCTTGTTCCACTGTCTCTTTACCCTGTTCTGCTGATGATTTCTTGACATTCCAAGAGTTGCATTGGTGCTGACATATTTTCTCAATGCCAAATGTACAAAATCGCAGGATGTGTACATGTCCCCCATCACAATGATTATCGACATCATGACAAACATTTATCATACCAGCTTTTGAAAACGAGACAAGCAGGCATGATCTACAAACATAACAGTAGTACATCTGAAAAGAGAAAAGACTTGAATCTGTTCCAAGTCCAAAATAATTTTTTACCTAGTGTGTCAGGCAGCAATATACAAGTCCATTTATTTCCACACCAGGCATCTTGTGCAGAAAGGGGAACAACTCTGTCTTGTCATATGAAGAAGGGGGACAACTCTGCCAGGGCCCATGCGAAGAAGGGGGGACAACTCTGCCACGCTGCTTGTGAAGATGGCTGATCCAGCTCAGTTGACAAGTTCAACATTGATGTGGGACAGATCAATCATATGTCTGGAGAGAAATAGGTAGAGTGAGTGAGTAAAACGTCTTTAATTCTATCTGTACTGTTTCAGCTGCATAGCAAATTATATCCCTCCCAAACCATGTGACTGAAACGTACTTGCTCAGTAGGATGAGGTTTTGTTCACTTCTTGCTTGCCCTGAACCTACTGCCACCCAATAATACCAATGGAGTTGTTCGAGGCCTGAACATACTGCCACTCAATAATACCGATGGAGTTGTTCGAGGCCTGAAATCACGTTGAACCCATGCATGTTTAATGTTCTCACAAACACGAGTAGTAACAGTGAGTGAGTGAGTTTAGTTTTAAGCCGCACTCAGCAATATTCCAGCCTCAGGCGGTCTCGAGCTACAGATAACTCTTTGGGTCATTGAGTTATGTACTCGCTTGTGTTCATCTCAATTGGGTATCGGAATTTTCCTTTGAGTAACCACATAAATTGTACCCACCTCACTCAAACTCATTTGGGTATTTTGCCATTTTACATTAATTGTAAAAATATAATAAAGTTTATATGTTATTTACATTGGATCTGTAATTTGAGAAACGATAAGAAAGACTGCAAGTTGCCAAGTTCATGTGTTGAAATAGAACCTCTGAATATACCTCAGTTATTTGATCTATGCACCGCTACGCAAGCTATGATTCGACATTTTTGTGTTTACGCATGTAAGATCAAATTTATTGAGTATTTACAAAAATTCAAGCGTACTTGTACGCAATAGACGTAATAACAATTGAGTTTTCACATAAATATTTGCGTAATTTACACAGATATGCAGCTTATCTGTACCTCTGGCGGTCTGTATACAAACGTGTCTGACCCAGACAATCCAATGATCAACAGCATGAGCATCAATTTACATAACTGGGATACGATGATGTGCTAACTAAGTCAGTGAGCCTGACCACCCGATCCTGTTAGTCTCCACTTATGACAAGCATGGGTTACTGAAGATCAATTTTAACCCGGATCTTCACAGGCGTAAGTAGTAATTCAATCGCATATGAATACGAAACCATACTGTTCGTGAATTCAATACACTACTCATCACTATTGATCGCTTCCGTGGTGGTTGCGGGTTCAATCCCCGACTGCGTCATACCAAAAGACGTTAAAACATGGTACTTGTTGGTCCCTGCCTGGCGCTCGGCATTAATGGGTACAACAAGGACTGGTCGGCTCGGAGTCAGTAAAATGTGTCTGAGTGGGGTATTCATGCTTCACTGCGGCATGGTATCACAGTGGGCTAGCACTATACAACCAGCTTAAGTCTGGGCTAGTACAAGCAGCTGCACATACACATACACAAGCATGCACGTCGTCATATGAGCAAAATATTCTCCAGCGCGATGTTAAACCCAATTTCACCTCACCTCACCTCACCTCACTCATCACTATGAAAACAATATCCTGAATGAAACATGTAATGTTTTGGGGTTCTTCATACACATGCAAACTCGGGTTCTTCATGAAAGACAAACAGGCCGATTAAACACCGGTGTATTTTAATGGTGACTCATGACAGACGACCTCCGTAATCCATACAAGTGGAATGTTCCTACGGTGCTGTAGGCAAAGGGAAGTAACTCATCCCATAATTGGTAATTTGACATACCTCAATATACAACAAAACATATCCAAGTCAGGCACTGGTTGTCACTGGTAACTGCAAATTAACATGGATATCCAGTTCAGACAAAGAATACACCAAGCCAAACAGGGTGCCATTGTACAAAGGAAACTTAGCGCTAAGATTGATGCAAGTCCATGTCTTACCTGTTGTATCTCTTAGTGAAGGTGGATGCGTGGTTGGAGTTACAGAACTTGATGGTCGCCCGCTTCTCCGCTTTTACCAAAGAAATGCTCTTTAAGAGAAACAGGAATTGACATGAGCCTCCATCCTGTCACAGTGAGGTCATGCAAGGCATTTACCATTTCAGTCGAGCCCAGAAGCACAGACTGACTGACTGACTGAGTTTGGTTTTACGCCGCTTTTAGCAATATTCCAGCAACATCACGGCAGGGGACACCAGAAATGGGCTTCACACATTGTGCCCATGTTGGGATTCGAACCCAGGTCTTCGGCATGACGAGCCAACACTTTAACCATTAGGCTACCCCACCGCCCCAGAAGCCCAGACATGGTGATGATATGTTTGTAGTTTAACTCTGCACTCGGCACTATTCCAGCCACAGTAAATAATTGGGTCTGGACCAGATAATCCATGAGCATCAATCTACCCAAATGGGATACAATACCATGTATCAACCAAGTTGGCAAGAACCACCCGATCCCGTCAGTCGCCTCTTACGACAAGCATGGGTTGCTGAAGACTAACTCTAACCCAGTGAGTGAGTGAGTTGAGTTTTACGCCGCACTCAGCAATATCCCAGCTATATGGCGGCGGTCTGTAAATAATCGAGTCTGGACAAGACAATCCAGTGATCAACAGCATGAGCATCGATCTGCGCAATTGGGAACCGATGACATGTGTCAACCAAGTCAGCGAAACTGACCACCCGATCCCGTTAGTCGCCTTTTACGACAAGCATAGTCGCCTTTTATGGCAAGCACATGGGTTGCTGAAGACCTATTCTACCCCGATCTTCACGGGTCCTGACCCAGATCTTCATGGGGTCAAGGTGATGATAATTCCAGAATCATAATTGGTTTTTAAACCAAGAGACAATTATGTAAATTATCACAGTTCATGAGCTTCAAATCATACAAAGACTACAGCACAATTATGAGGGAGTGAGTTAGGTTTTAAGCCACTTTTAGCGATATTCTAGCAATATCATGGCAGGGGACACCAGAAATGGGCTTCACACATTGTACCCATGTGGGGAATCGAACCCAGGCCTTCGATGTGATGAGCGAACGTTTTAACCACTGGGCTACCCCACCGCCCCATGAAGCTCTATGAGCTATGCGTGTTATGTGACTCACCTCCACTGGGCCGACAGTTTTGCACAGTTGGTCTAGAACCTTTTGGGACGTTGATGCTGACAAGTTAGTTATCCGTATTGTCTGTGAACTACTCATCACAATTTTCTGTAATAAATGATAACATCTAACTGCCAACAATATGGGAATGTTTTGCAATGTCTGTCGTACATACTATAGACACTTTTTAATGATTAAAAGGATGTCAACACTAAGAAATTAATATCTTGTAAGTGAAACAAATTGCAGTTTGAGTTAATTTGATTGATACCTTCACAGAATGAAATTTCTGGATAAATAATTTGAGACTATTTCACACTGCTCCATCCAACAGATCAACATTCTAACTCACCCTGTTCACACTGCTCCATCCAACAGATCAACATTCTAACTCACACTGTTCACACTGCTCCATCCAACAGATCAACATTCTAACTCAGCCTGTCCACACTGCTCCATCCAACAGATCAACATTCTAACTCACACTGTTCACACTGCTCCATCCAACAGATCAACATTCTAACTCACCCAGTTCACACTGCTCCATCCAACAGATCAACATTCTAACTCACCCTGTTCTGATTTGCACCAGATTGAGCACCACCTCCGCGACCTCTGCCTTGACCTGCGGTATTTGCTGCTCCTCGCCCTCGCACAACAACTTTCCGAGTCTGACCTTCACCTTCACCCTGACCCTGCACCACTGACCTTGTCTGGGGTGGTGAGGTTAGCACCCCATGGTTGTTGCCTGCAGGTTCACCTTGACCTTGGTTTCTAGTAACATGTCCCATTCTACCTCCATGCATTTGTCCCCTGCCACGTTGAGGCCCACGGACATTGGTCTGACCTCTCATGGGCATCTGACCTCTCATATTCGGCTGACCTCGCATATTGGGTTGACCTCGCATATGTGGCTGTCCTCGCATATTGGGTTGACCTCGCATATTGGGCTGTCCTCGCATATTGGGCTGTCCTCTCATATTGGGCTGACCTCTCATATTGGGCTGACCTTGCATATTGGGCTGACCTCTGCCCCTCATCACGTTAGGTCCCATCATATTATTATTGCCTTGCATATTTCCTCTCATGGGCGACCCACCCCTTCCTCTCATGTTGGGATGTCCAGGTCCTCCACGGTTAGGTCCCTGCATCATTGGCTGACCTCGACCTCCTGGTCCACCTCGACCCATAACCTGTCCTTGACCTCTATTTGGGGGACCATGACCTCTATTTGCTGGACCTTGACCCTGAAACCCAGGATCATGAAAGCCTTGGTTCTGATTCATCCTAACCTCTGGGTTGACATGTCCGTTCGGACCTCCTTGATGATGATGACCTCTCCCACGAACATTCATCTGCCCTCCTCTCATCTGGCCACGTCCTCTAGGTTGCCCTTGACCCCTGTTCATCTGTTGACCTCTCCCAGCATTCATCTGCTGATTTCCCTGCTGAGAAATTCTGGTGTTTTTGGCCTGAATGGGACCATCACCACTCATCTGCCGTTTTATACCAACATTCGGACTTCCCTGGTGATCACCCATCCCGCCAGACATCTGACGCATGAGTGACCCTTGCTGGTTCCCTGACCCCGATATTCCACGGATAGGCTGACCTCTGCCCATCGTCTGATTGGCCAGGTTGCCTGGTACTGCTTTAGGTTTGACTGCAGGAGATCCTATGGCCTGTATTGGCTGACCATCTTGGATGCCAGCGTCTTGCCCAGAGTCAGAGGAGGGATCAGCAATGTCATCAATTGTCATTCCTGTGGCAGAAGCAAAGCGAGTGAAACATTTGTTTGTCTCAAACCAGGAAAAGACTCACTAGTAAGTCCAATCTTTTTAAGCATTGTCATCGTATACTTACCAACATGGCAAAACTTACTCATTCAGTCATTACTCATACCACCTGGATGGTGGAATAGCTGAGTGGTCAAAGCTTTCACTCATCATGACAAGATCTAGGTTCAAATGTCAAAAGTGTAAAAATTGTTTCTGGCGTCCTGTACCATGATATAGCTGGAATATTGTTAAAAATGTGAAAAATTTAGCATTTGGCTTTAAGTTCAGAATTTCAGTTTACCATTCTGGGAAGCATTAAAAATTCCTTTTGTGAGAGTGACATTGCCACAGTTAAAATTGTTATTGCGCCTAAGATCCCTTGTGCTTTGTGTCAATTTTGAAAAAAGACAAGAAGACAAAGTCATCAATATCCCCCGCAATGGCAAAATACTCTTCATGATTATGTCTACGAGTTATGATTATGTCAAATATTTAGGTGTGTATATAGAAAAGTGGAAGGAGAGTATTGAAAGGTTTTGAAAGTTCTGCTCCAGAAAGGAGCACTATCACCAATTTCAGTCTAAGTCAAACTTGTTGCCATGGAAGCGCCAAAAATATTTAATTCAGAATTCCAAAACAACGAAAAGGCACCAGTAGACCACCAGATCTATCTATGTGCCAAGTTTGGTGAAGAAATATTGAACGGTTTTAAAGTTCTGCTCTGGAAAAGAGCACTACCACCAATTTCAGTCAAAGTCGAACTTGTTGCCATGGAAACGCCAAAATATTTTATTCAGAATTCCAAAACTACCAAAAGGCACCAGTACACCACCAGATCCATGTATGTGCCAAGTTTGGTGAAGAAATATTGAATGGTTTTAGAGTTCTGCTCCGGAAAAGACAAATGTGCACGGACGGACGGACGGACGGACGGAGTCCATTTTAATACCCCTCGCAAAACGCGTTGCGGGGGATAAAAATGGCCTGTGGAGACTCTTGGTAGGAATAAGACAGAACCATAACAATCAGCTAAATACATGATGTGGTCTTATTTGTTTGGATTCAAGCCCAGGATTTCAGTCACTTGATTGTAATGTAAGATCCACGTTCAGTCATTCACTGACCACTGACATACATTTGGATTTGGGTCCAAGGGGACTTAATCTGACCCAGTGTTTGAACAGATCCCCAGCACTGGGTCCATGGGGACTTAATCTGAAACAGTGTTTGAACAGATCCCCAGCACTGGGTCCATGGGGGCTTAATCTGACCCAGTGTTTGAACAGATCCCCCCCACTGGGTCCAAGGGGACTTAATCTGACCCAGTGTTTGAACAGATCCCCAGCACTGGTCCATGGGGGCTTAATCTGATCCAGTGTTTGAACAGATCCCCAGCACTGGGTCCAAGGGGACTTAATCTGATCCAGTGTTTGAACAGATCTCCAGCACTGGGTCCAAGGTGTTTTAATCTGGCCCAGTGTCTGAACAAATCCCCAGCACTGGGTCCAAGGGGGCTTAATCTGACCCCGTGTTTGAACAGATCCCCCCCACTGGGTCCAAGGGGGCTTAATCTGACCCTGTGTTTGAACAGATCCCCAGCACTGGGTCCAAGGGGACTTAATCTGACCCAGTGTTTAAACAGATCCCCAGCACTGGGTCCATGGGGGCTTAATCTGAACCAGTGTTTGAACAGATCCCCCACTGCACTGGGTCCAGTGTTTGAACAGATCCCCAGCACTGGGTCCATGGGGGCTTAATCAGGCCCAGTGTCTGAACAGATCTCCAGCACTGGGTCCAAGGTGTTTTAATCTGGCCCAGTGTCTGAACAAATCCCCAGCACTGGGTCCAAGGTGACTTCATTCTCTTTCCACAGAGGTTACTCAAGTCATATCTTCCCACATACCTCTGTTCTAATAAGGCCCTTTCATGGTGCGAGTGTTCAGGATTCGTGATTGGTTGCAATCAGATTTAGTTGTGCAATCAGCAACGTTGTTCCAAAAGTGATCATTCGCAAAGCCTCAGTAATTTCCGTATGCTTCGGAAAAAATAGAACCTCTTCCCCTGCACGATGCGCAAACATTTTTGTCATGTAATGGCAGATCAATGGTGTCATTGCCCTCGTTGACCACAGACAAGCTAGCCATTAAATGTCTCGTGGGCCACATCAACACAAGTCCCGAGCAGAGGAGGGAAATTTGTGTCCCCACATTTGGATTAGTCAAGTTAAGCAAGTGTTTGGAAGGAACATCCATAAGAAACAGGGATTGGGATCGCCATATTGGATTTAAGTTGATGTAACACATGTTCTGATTGGATAGAAAGATGGGAGATACTTCGTGTTGCGTTTTTTTGCTGCTAGGGGATTTTTTGAGAACTGGGAATTAGAACAGAGGTAGGAATGAGGGAAGATATGACCTCTGAGTAATCTTTTGAGTAACCTCTGTGGGTAGAGAATGAGGGGACTTCTTCTGATCCAGTATCTGATCAGATATTCAATAGTGTCCAGCGAACCTAGTCTGACCAAGTATTGGAGCATATCAACAACACTGTGTCATAGGGACTGATTATGATCAAGAGAGAGAGTACGGTTTTATGTCGCTTTTAGCAATATTCCAGCAATATCACGGCGGGTAACACTAGAACGAGCTTCAAATATTGTAACCATGTGGGGAATCAAGTAGAGCTGGCATTGGCATACAACCTGCGATACGATACATCACGATGCTATAAGTTTAGTCACGACGATATATTGCCAAAGTATCGTGCACTGAAGCTGCAATACGATGTGAATCATGATATAAGGGTGGCGATACGATACGCATCACGATACTAAAATATTTAATTCTAACACCAACTATAAAACACATTTATATGAAAACAAAACCATTTTAAAGTATTTCGTCAAATTCTGCCAGCGTTTTTCAATGTTCATTCGGAAACGAGATAATTAAGTTTATACACGGACTTTGTGAATAATAATAACACGTGAGCTCTATGTCTGACACAGTTGTTTATGCAAGAATTTCCGAGAAAACATTTACTTATGAAGGGAAAATAAGTAAGCAACTATTTTAATCATCAAACAAAAGTGAGTCTCTTTTCTTGACAGATATCGCGATTCGTCAATATTCAAAGTTAAACATCGATGTATCGTTGCCCATTTGAAGTATCGTATCAGGATATACGACAATGTAAAACTTTGTATCGATGCACTGTATCGGCGGCCCATGGATGGATGTATCGATGCGTATCGATGAATCGTCACACCACTAGAATCAAGCCTAGGTCTTCGAATGATGAGCAAACGCCATAACCACTTGGCTACCCCCACTGACTGATCAAGATAACAACTTTGACAACACTTCACTACTTGGCTTTGGTGATTCCCTTACTGACTATCTAGATTTACCGATTTTAACAACTGGTTGACAACACTTCAATGAAATGAAACCCATTGTGGTGATTCCTGTAATTAACCCACTAACCTTCTGAGCCAACTTCTTCTCGAAGTTCCTCCGGCCGCCTGACTGCCTCCAGATCTACGCTTCATCTCCTTCTTCTTGATTATCTCTTCCCGCATCCGTTTCTGCTCCTCCAGCTTCTTCCTCAGCTCTCGAGTTTCATCATCCATCGGCTCCTCCTGTAAATGAATCAAATATTTCATGGAATATTTACCCATATTCCACCCATATGGCAGCAAGGGACACCTAGTGTAGGCTGCCCACATTCAGTAACCGTGTGAGGAATAGAACCAGGTGTTTGGGGTGAGTGCAGTTCTTTTTAAAGGATTCCCAACTGCTCATAATCTGGTAGAGAATAGTGTGTGCGTGTGTGAGGGGAGGGGAGAGGAGAGGGAGGGAGGGAGGGAGAGGGGAGAGAGAGAGAGGGAGAGAGGAGAGGGGAGAGAGAGGAGAGAGGAGAGAGAGGAGGGAGAGGAGAGGAAGAGAGAGGGAGAGGAGAGAGGAGGAGGAGAGGAGAGAGAGAGAGAGAGAGAGGAGAGGAGAGGAGGGAGGAGAGAGAGAGGGAGGAGAGGAGAGAGAGAGGAGGGAGAGGAGAGGGAGAGAGGAGAGAGAGGAGAGAGAGAGGAGAGAGGAGGAGAGAGGAGAGAGAGAGGAGAGAGGAGAGAGAGAGAGAGGGAGAGGAGAGGAGAGAGAGAGGGAGAGGAGAGGAGAGAGAGAGGAGAGGGAGAGAGGAGGAGAGAGAGAGAGAGGAGAGAGAGAGAGAGAGAGAGAGAGAGGAGAGAGAGGAGAGGAGAGGAGGAGAGGAGGGAGAGAGGAGAGGGAGAGAGAGAGGAGAGGAGAGAGAGAGGAGAGGAGGAGGAGAGGAGAGAGAGGAGAGAGGAGAGGAGAGAGAGAGAGAGAGGAGAGAGAGAGAGAGAGAGAGAGAGGAGAGAGGAGAGAGGAGAGAGAGAGGAGGAGAGGGAGAGGGAGAGAGAGGAGGAGGAGAGAGAGAGAGGAGAGGGAGAGAGGAGAGAGAGAGAGGGAGAGAGAGGGAGAGGAGGAGAGAGAGGAGAGGAGAGGAGGAGAGGAGAGAGAGGGAGAGGAGGAGGATGCTGGTTTGGAGCACGCGGTTGAAGCTGTGAATCTGCTGGTGTTGCAGATGTTGTTGAGGGGGAGGCATCAGCTGCTGTTGCTGTTGCTGCTGAAACTGCTGGTTGTGGCCTGGTTGCTGGAAACGCTGCTGTTGGTTGCTGGTGGTGGGAATCATGGAGCCTTGCTGCTGCGGTTGCTGCTGCTGTTGGTGCTGCGGTTGGTGCTGCGGTGTTGGTGCTGCGGTTGGCGCCTCGGTTGGTGCTGCGGTTGGTGCTTCGGTGCTGCGGTTGAACTAGGGGCTGATGATACCTTGGCTGGCCTGTAGTTAGTGAGTGAATTGAGTTTCAGCTTGCAGCAGTATCATTTATATATTAGCTTGTGAGGGAGTTTGATTTTACACTGCTTTTAGTACATTGATCACAGCAGGGGGCCTCACACACTGTACCCAAATGGAGAATCAAACTCAGGCCTTCGGCAAAAGGAGTGAATATTTTAACCATTAGGCTACCACACCAAACCTGTAAGCTTAAGAGTGAGTGAGTGTGAGTGAGTTTAGTTTTACGCCACTTTGAGCAATATTCCAGCAATATTATGGCGGGGACACCAGAAATTGGCCTCACACACTGTACCCAAATGGAGAATCAAACCCAGGCCTTCGGCAAATGGAGTGAATATTTTAACCATTAGGCTACCACACCGAACCTGTAAGCTTAAGAGGAAAGCCGGAACTGGTGCAGGCCTCACATATACTTAGTGAAATATATAGCACAGGTAGCACAGGTAGAGTATTGACAAGAGTTTTAGGTCAAACCCAAGATCATAGCATTCTTTCCTGCGCCTAGATTTTCGAAGCTCTCTTAGAGCTAAGATAGTTATAGGGTAATGTTAATCCATGGCAATTATGACTATCTTAGCTTTAAGACAGCTTCGACAAATCTAGGCCCTGGCTAAGGGGAGCAATTGCAAATTGTAACCCCCCCAAGAAGACTTACCAGGAATCCACTTTCTCCAAAGTATTAAAGATTTTCCTTTGTTCTCAAAATTGTCATGCAGTTGTGAATTGAGAAATTGTCTTCAATATATGTCAGGGATAGGACAGGTTGGTTCATTCAGTATAAAAATCTAACTAGAAGCTAGTTGTTTTACCTGGGGGTCCCTGGTGTGACAGGAGGGGCCGGGGCTGACTTGAGACAGACAGTAGTGGCTGGGGAGTCTGGGGGTACGGCTGGGGGTAACCAGGTCCTGCAACAAATACGATGTGTTGAACTAAGTGATATTTCAGGTGTGTGAGTTACATGTTTCAGGAGTCCAGTTACTGCAGGTTTGCGTCACTGTTGGTCACTGTGGTCAAGCCACAAGCATGGGACTACTGAAGACAGACCCAGTAGCATAAGGAGAGCAAATTTGGGATTTGTACCCATGATCAGTAACTTCAAAGCCATCAGGGTCTGCGAAATCTCAAAAGTCATTCCATTCTCATTCTTGTCACTCGTGATACCGAACAGAGACATTCATTTAACATTCATATCATGCAGAAACAATATCATTTGGTTTACAGTTTATACCCAAACTCAACTATATATTTGAAAATGTAACAATAAATTTAATGACATTTATTGACAGTAAATCAATGGGAATCATTTTGAAATCTGGTCCTTCAGCCAGTCTTGTGACAGTCTGAGCAAGAACACGCATCATCAAAGTATGATGCTTGTGGTGTTTCTTGGTTTCTCTTATTCTAAGAGACAACTAACAGAATCAGTGGTAGGCTTACTGACTTGGTGGATGAATGTCAATGTATCCCAAGTGCATCATTTGAATTTCATGAATTTTACCACACGAATGTATGAACTCCATAAATTAAAAACAATTACTGAATATTGCTCAGAGGTGAATTGAACAATTAACAATCACTGGATGGTCTGGTCCAGATCCCAACAATTACAGACTGCATGTTGCTGGAAAAATGCTGATCTCAGCATTAACATCACGGCATGGTGACACACATACAGCTGAGCAGCTAATCCTAAAGTCGACATTTCTGACAAGCAAGAGATGCTGGTTCAACATAAACCCAACAATTAGTCATCCTCTGTGGAGACTTCATTCAAAATCATTTCCTTATGTTATAGAAATTTAAGTCAACAGCTCAAACTCAAGTCAAGGAAGAGATGATATTAGGTTGAATGGGGTTTAACAAAGAGAAGAATTTTAACGTATTTTGGGGTATCCTCTTATTCAGATATGTAATCTTTCTGACCAGTTTCTACGATTGTCTGAATGTTAGTATACACACACGTGAGAAATCAGCCACAATTCCTATTCGACAAAGAAGCAAGTACCCCACTGTTGAACAGTGACAACTCCATACCTGGATATGGCTGTGATACTTGATGCTGAGGAGGTTGGTACTGGCCCTGCACCGGAGCTTGGGACTGACTTCGCCATGGTTCTGATGCTGGAGGCTGGTAAGGTGATACCTGCAGGTAGACACAGGTTTGGAGGAAGTGAGTTGACATTGTTTTTCTTTGCAGTTAGCAATACACACACTGTGTTAAAACAACAGCATTTTACACATTAAACTGTTCTCATTTGTGGATCATCCAACCCACCATCCTCCCCTCAGTTGTGAAGCAACTCTCAACACTTCTTACTTACATGATATGACCCCTTCTCACTTTCTCAATGTGTCGTGTCTCACATGTCCCTCTTCTCACCTGTACAGCACTATCCCTTCTCACCTGTACAATGCTCCCCTTTCCTACCTGTGCAACTCTCCCGTCTCATGAATAGCACTGGGCCCTGTCCTGCGCCCCACCCTACAATGCTCCCCTTTCTCAAGTGTACAACACTCCCCGTTCATACTTGTACAGCACTCCCCTAACCTGCCTGTACAGCTGTCCGTCTTCTGTATAGCAATCTTGTTTCCTACCTTTACGGGCACTCCCTCTTCTTAACTGTAGAGCACTCCCCTGTTATACCTGTACTGCAGTCCCTTTTCCTACCGGTACCACGCCCCCCTTCTCACATGTACAATGATCCCCAATACCTACCAGTACAACCCTCCCTCACCTGTACAGCACTCCCCCTTCTAACCTGTATAGCACTCCTGTATCGTACCTGCAGAGCACTCCTCTTTCCTAAATGTACAACACTCTTTTTTCTCACCTATACAACACCTCCATTTCCTACCTGTACAGTGACTCTCACAAAAACCTCTTTGCATGTGATGCAAAATTAATACCACATTCTCACCTTTGAAGCAATACTCACCAGTTCCACAAACCTTTTCTCACCTGTGGAGCAAAATATCCCCATATCTCACCTGTGGAGCTACCGCAGCTGGCTGTGGATGAGGCATCTGGGGGGGTTGATACACATCAGCGGGGCCTCGCTGTGTCGTCCATGATATGTTGGTTGACGCTGGCTGGGGAGCCGGTGCTGGTGCCCGGGCCCGGAAGTGAGGGTTAATCAGGATCTTCCTGGACGATGGCTGCGACGAAGGCGGTGGCTGGGCTGAGGAGCCCAGAGCTGGCTGCTGACTGCTGTCAACACTGGGGTGAGCAGGATGTGCCGGGTGTGGCAGGGCATGAGACTGAGGTGGTTGCTGTTGATGCTGGACACACAAAATATATTATAGATATTAGTTTTGTGTGTTGCTTTTCAGAAATTATCAAGGCACAACGTGGCGGCCTATAACTTATTGAGTTGAATGAGACAATCTAGTGACCTATGGTGTGGGGATCTCAACGAGCCTGACCACCTGACGCATCTGGAAACCTTTTACGGTCAACATTTGTTTAACATGTATGCAAAGTTTCGTCAAGGAAAGGTGAACTCAGTTGGAGATCTGATCCCACACCTCAAACAGGTGCAATAACAAAGCAAGAGTGAGTGAGTGAGTGAGTGAGTGAGTGAGTGAGTGAGTGAGTGAGTGAGTGAGTGAGTGAGTGAGTGAGTGAGTGAGTGAGTGAGTGAGTGAGTGAGTGAGTGAGTGAGTGAGTGAGTGAGTGAGTGAGTGAGTCGGGGACACCAGAAATGGGCTTCACATTCATGTCGTGAATCAACCCTAGTCTTTGGTGTATTGAGTGAATGCTTCAACCACTAGGTTATCCGACTGCCCCTCGACAATATGGAACATGGTAATGGATATTAGTACAACTGTGAATTTACAATACCTGAGGTTGCGCTGGGTGTTGTGAATGAGGTTGATGATGTTGTTGGTGCTGCTGCTGATGGTGCTGGTGTTGTTGATTATGTTGCATATGGTCCGGGGGTCCCTGCTGGTGAGGCGGCTGATTCCAGGCCTGTCTAGGAGGACCAAATCTCTGTTGTGAATTGAATGACTGCTGCTGTCCAGGTCCCCCTTGAGGCCTAAACTGTTGCCAGGGCCCTCTTGATCCAAACTGACCTCGACCTCTAGGGCCCTGCTGTCGCCACTGACCCCCACGACCTCGACGACCTTTCTGGTTGCTGGACAAGAACTGGTCAATCTCTTGCTGCTGTTCTTCACTGATTTCTGAAATCAGGAAAATAAGCATCACCCCAATGAACCTTTGAGTAAAATACCCCACAATCTTTGGAGTAAATACCCAAAAAACTTTGAAGTAAGTACTCCAAAATCTCTGTAAAAAATACTCCAAAATCTGACAAAAATAATCTGAAGTCACAGAGCAAAATATTTCTAAAGCGACAGTAACACCATCTACATTGGCAATATATACAGGAATATTTGAGGTTCCTGTTAAGTATTGAAATTGTGCAGTGAAGTGTCCATGCTGGTGCCAAGCTGTAATACTGCCAGCAGCTTACCGAGAGTTTCCGGGGATGTCCTGTCTGGACTTGGTGGTGGCGATGGTGATGATGTTGGACCTCTCAGACTTGAACCTGCCTCGGCCTGACTCCCCATCGCTATCACTCTCACTGTCACTCTCCTCCTGGAGCTCCTGAGTGGTCTGTGTCTCATCTCCCTGGATATTACATTAATCACGTCATATGTTGCCATAGCAGTAATTATTACACACCCGTAAGATCCCGAAAGTGTAATCCTAAATATTACATGTGTTACAATCCATGCTTGTCGTAAGGTGTGACTAACAAGATTGGGTGGTCAGGCTCGCTGACTTGGTTGACACATGCCATCATTTCTTAGTTGTGTAGTTCAATGCTCATGCTGTTAATCACTGGATTGTCTGGTCCAGACTTGTTTATTTACAGACCGCCGCCATATAGCAGGAATATTGCTGAGTGCAGCATTAAAGAACAAACAAACAAACAAACAAAAAACAAATATTACTACAAGTTTATGGCCATGAATATTTAATCAATAATACAGATGGACAAAGAGAAGGCATAAATTTTAATTTGTAACATTTAATGGATGTATGTAAAGGCTAACGTGTAACCATGGCCAACTGAGTAAGAAAGAAAACTTTGGTTTTTAAAAAAAATAAATTAAAAAAATGCCCAGTTTAAGAAAATGGCCCACATGCAATAATCTTCAGGTTGCATATTACCAATGCACTAACAGCAAAACTTGTTTCATGCTTGTAGCCCCTAACTATGTTTGCATGTAAAGGCCAACTGAGTAAGACATAAATCTGTGTTATGAAAAAAAGAAGAAGGAAAAACAGTACCTCCTGCTCCTCAGCATCTTCCTGTGTTGTGTTGAACTGTCCTTCTTGTCCCTCCTGGTTGAACTGCTGTGCTTCGTAATCCTCCCCTTGGTACTGCTGCTCATCTTGCGGGTATGGTTCCCCACCCCCCTCAAAGCCCACGCCACCCTCCTGGTAGAGGATACCATCGTCATACTGGTCATTGTTGTAGCTATCTGGGTTGAAGTCATCAAGGCCTTCAGCCAGGTCCTGAATCTCTTCATCATCAACAGCTATCTCTAAAGCCTGGAACACAAATCAGGAATGTCAAAGCAAGACATTTATTTCTTTTATAAATGAGTGTTGATATATTTGATGTCAAAGGACACAAGGCTAAATTCTACTTATCATCCAAGATATATCTTCCAACTGTTTCAGTTAGTGAACTATAATAATTACTATGCAAACTCATTAATTGTTGATTCATTAATCCTGTGCTTCACTCTCCGGGTCCGGATGCTAATTAGCGGTAACGGGTTAGCGAATTACACTTGGGTTTGCTTCATTAATCCAGCGGTACATAAGGTTTGGATTGACCAACGTGAAAGTTCATTTCCTGCCTCCCAACACCACTGCCATTGGTGATTTCTTTAAACATGAATGAGTTTCTGAGTTTTGATTGTTATACAAACTGTAATAAAGTCTTTTGATACATGTACATGTATACTTTCTTCTATATTGTCTCGGTATGTCAAAGGGAAGTAACTCTACTGTAGTGGTGACATTATGGTTCGTTTTAGTAGTCCGTAAGTTTTCGGATTAACACGGCCTGACTGTACTGATATTAGTTGCCGCCTCTTGCAGCCATTGATGCTTGTCCTTACCCAGGAGCCATTACAATCTTAGTGTTATGATGTTCACAGTTCCCATATTATAACAATGATTTACGACAGTCCAGCGCCAAGGTGATTGCAACTCCCATACTATAACATTGACTTACAACAGTCGTAGCTCTAAGGTGATCGTAACACCCACACTATAACATTGACTTACAACAGTCGTAGCGCTAAGGTGGTCGTAACTCCAATACTATAACAATGACTTACGACAGTCGTAGCGCTAAGCTGATCGTAACTCCCATACTATAACATTGACTTACAACAGTCGTAGCGCTAAGGTGATCATAACTCCCATACTATAACAATGACTTACTACAGTCGTAGCGCTAAGGTGATCGTAACTCCCATACTATAACAATGACTTACTACAGTCGTAGCGCTAAGGTGATCGTAACTCCCATAAAATAACACTGACTTACGACAGTTGTGGCGTTAAGGTGATCATAACTCCCATACTATAACATTGACTTACAACAGTCGTAGCGCTAAGGTGATCATAACTCCCATACTATAACAATGACTTACTACAGTCGTAGCGCTAAGGTGATCGTAACTCCCATACTATAACAATGACTTACTACAGTCGTAGCGCTAAGGTGATCGTAACTCCCATACAATAACACTGACTTACGACAGTTGTGGCGTTAAGGTGATCATAACTCCCATACTATAACATTGACTTAAAACAGTCGTAGCGCTAAGGTGATCATAACTCCCATACTATAACAATGACTTACTACAGTCGTAGCGCTAAGGTGATCGTAACTCCCATACTATAACAATGACTTACTACAGTCGTGGCTTAAGGTGATCGTAGAACTCCCAAACTATAACAATGACTTACTACAGTCGAAAGGTGATCGTAACTCCCATACAATAACACTGACTTACGACAGTTGTGGCGTTAAGGTGATCATAACTCCCATACTATAACATTGACTTACAACAGTCGTAGCGCTAAGGTGATCATAACTCCCATACTATAACAATGACTTACTACAGTCGTAGCGCTAAGGTGATCGTAACTCCCAAACTATAACAATGACTTACTACAGTCGTAGCGCTAAGGTGATCGTAACTCCCATACAATAACACTGACTTACGACAGTTGTAGCGTTAAGGTTGTTTCGTACAATGGCTCCCAAGTACATGTATTCATATTTCTCAGCATAATTTTAAAAAGAAACAGTTTAACACTCACTTCCGCATCTTGAGCCCCGTCGAGTCCCCCTGCATCGTGCCTGTTGGAAACATGAACATAAGTTAATACTGATCTTACAAAGGGAAACTACAACAGTATGTCTGATAGCAGAATATCACTGAATGATTTGGTTTAAAGAAACTCAAACACAAGGCCACGACCACTGCTCCTTATAACACAGAAAATGTGGTGCTGCAGTTAAATGTAGAAAAGTACCAATTCTCCAGCTCTCTAAACCTGGTCCCTAAATTTTGAAACAGACTCTTAGTCAATTTCTACTGTGCTTTCAGCAACTACAACTACAACTGTACATGTTGTGACCTATAACTGTACATATAAGTACTTAAACAATTTACTGACAATGACTGACAAATAGCAGTGAAAGGGTATACCGCAGTATTAGTAGAATTGCGGTATTTTGCCTTCGGTTTGGTATACTGTTATGCAATAAAAACCCTGGTATTTTTTGTTTTCGTACTTTCATGTCTATCTAGTCATAAATGAGTTTTGTTTATTCAAAATAACAAAGATTAATGTTATTTTTCTCCCATGCTATTGAACAATGTAAGATTTGGCTCTTGTTAGTGTTCTGCATTATGATGATATCTTGTATACCGAACTGAAACGGATCGAACTGAAGGCCTTGTACTGTAATACATACCATACCATACCATTTGACCTCTACTGACAAAGTACTAGGCCAGAAATAGAAGCATCCAAGGTGATGTAGACTGTCTGTTTCTGTCTAAGGTATTGAATTTGATACCTCTGAACGAGCAATAAGGTTGTTTTGTTTTTCCAGCTATATGGTAGCGGTCTTGAATGATCTTTTGTTGAATTACAGTCAACTCTCGTTAATCCGACACTTGTGGTTGCAGAGAAATATGTCGGATTAACGAAAATGTCGGATTAATGAAAATGTCGGATTAATGTATTTGTGTGAAAATATCAATGTTTACTAAATGTCATGATCTTCATACTGTTGCATGCATATCAGAAATGGTAGATCTAGTTATCTTCATTGTATGTAAAAATATTCACAGAAATAAAAAATACTAACAATACATACTTGTTTTCATTTATTAACATTCATAGATGGCATAACATAGATATATAATCACATAAGCGAACAGTTTCATATCTATTTCATGACCACATTGGCACAAAACTCACGTTTGTTTTTACCGCATATCAGCTGCCATTATGACCCGGATGTTGAATATGTTACAGTTTCCATACAACTAATTCCATAATAACATGTGGACGTCTAATGTACAATCAGGCGTGTATCATAACATATATAATTTATAACTTGAAAAAGTCTTTGATGGTCATTGATCAAACACGTCTAAGTGGTATGTCAGAAATGTTTGCAAAGTGTTCAACGATGTTTTGGCCTCAGATAGCTTGAAGCATTGGAATCAGTCGTAGAGACGCTCAACCACTAAGCAGACTGCTTCAGGATGTCAGATACGGTCGATCGTCCAATCTTCACATCAAACTTCTGCTCAGCAAAAGTGATGACTTCTTGTTGTGTTGTCTGGGGTTTGTCTTTCTTCAAAAGGAGATTTCTTTCTTGATCAGTGGCGAACTTCTACAAGGGTCGCTTAGCAGGTGGTGTACTTCGTGACAAACATCTTGTGATGAAAACTCATGTCGGTTGTAAACATTTTATACAGCTCGCTCTACTGTTATTTCTTGATTAAATCGTCTCAATTAATTATCCTGTGTTCCTAATTAACAAGTGTGATGTTCACTGACGCCGGTGTCAAGCAGCCAGTAAGGCACACGCTAATTACCACTCATGTGTGATTGTTTGTATACGGTCGGATCATCCGACCGGCTGTGTTGATTGTCGGATTAACGAATGTTTTTACAATGTATTTACAGAATCAGCTGCTAGATTGGTGTGTCGGAGTCGGAATGCGAGAATGTCGGATTAACGAGAGTAATTATCACTGTTTTAAATGGTTCCCTAACTTTTTGTTGGATTAACGTGATTGTCGGATTAATGAGTGTCGGATTAACGAGAGCTGACTGTACTTTTTTATTTGGGTGTCCAAAATTATGAGACACATCATCAGAGTTGGTCTGTCGATTTCCTGTGACTGTGCAAAATTTGGTTTTGTTGCAATTATTAGATTTTGTGTTAGTGAGCAATTTATTGGTCGCAGATGAAATCAAACGGACTGTTAAGGTGTCTGACATGTCCGTTGGACAGAACTTTTCACAACAAACACAGTGCCATGTATGACTGGTGCACCCATTGCAAACCCTTATGGTACATGGAATATATCGTCGTTGTTTTCCGTAACAATATCACATATATTGGACGTCGATGGAAGACCTTTAGAAATGAAGCAATCTGATACGTTTTGATTTTACGTTGATGATAATCATTGATATGCCTTGCAACATATCCACAAGTATGCACGCTTATAGCTCATTTTTAAAAAAAATTTACACAAGAGTACAAATATATGCCCATATAAGGGTATGTGACTAGCAGACTGTTGGCTGAGGCTGCTCATGATACACAGCTGTGTACACACCAGCTATGAATTATACATGTGTAACATACATGTACCAGGAATTATACGTGTGTAACATACATGTACCAGGAATTATACATGTGAAACATACATGTACCAGGAATTATACGTGTGTAACATACATGTACCAGGAATTATACATGTGTAACATACATGTACCAGGAATTATACGTGTAACATACATGTACCAGGAATTATACATGTGTGACATACATGTACCAAGGAATTACATGTGTGGACATACATGTACCAGGAATTATACGTGTGTAACATACATGTACCAGGAATTATACATGTGTAACATACATGTACCAGGAATTATACATGTGTAACATACATGTACCAGGAATTATACATGTGTAACATACATGTACCAGGAATTATACATGTGTGACATACATGTACCAGGAATTATACATGTGTAACATACATGTACCAGGAATTATACGTGTGTAACATACATGTACCAGGAATTATACATGTGTGACATACATGTACCAGGAATTATACATGTGTAACATACATGTACCAGGAATTATACGTAACATACATGTACCAGGAATTATACATGTGTGACATACATGTACCAGGAATTATACATGCGACATACATGTACCAGGAATTATACGTGTATGTGTAACATACATGTACCAGGAATTATAATGTGTGACATACATGTACCAGGAATTATACGATGTGTAACATACATGTACCAGGAATTATACATGTGTAACATACATGTACCAGGAATTATACATGTGTAACATACATGTACCAGATGTATCATTATAAGTGTGTAACATGTACATACAGGAATTATACATGTGTGACATACATGTACCAGGAATTATACATGTGTGACATACATGTACCAGGAATTATACGTGTGTGACATACATGTACCAGGAATTATACGTGTGTAACATACATGTACCAGGAATTATACGTGTGTAACATACATGTACCAGGAATTATACGTGTGTAACATACATGTACCAGGAATTATACATGTGTAACATACATGTACCAGGAATTATACACAGTAACACACTGGTTTGTTGTTTAACGCCGCACTCCGCAATATTCCTGCTATATGGCAACGGTCTGTAGCTTATCGAGTCTTGACCAGACAATCCAGTGATCAACAGCATGAGCATCGATCTACGCAACTGGAATATGAGGTGAGGTGAGGTGAAATTGGGTTTAACGTCGTGCATGAGAATATTTCGCTCATATGATGACAACATGCATGCATGTGTATGTGTATGTACGAATAGCCTGCACGGCTGCTTGTACTAGCCCAGACTTAAGCTGGTTGTATAGTGCTAGCCCACTGAGATACCATGCCGCAGTGAAGCATGAATACCCCACTTAGGCACAGTATACTGACTCCCAGCCGACCAGTCCTTGTTGTACCCATTAATGCCGAGCGCCAGGCAGGGACCAACAAGTACCATATTTTAACGTCTTTTGGTATGACGCGGTCGGGGATTGAACCCGCGACCTTCCGCTCCCCGGGCGGATGCTCTAACCCGCAACTGGAATATGATGACATGTGTCAACCAAGTCAGGGAGTTTAACCACCCGATCCTGTTAGTCGCCTTTTACGATAAGCATGGGTTGCTGAAGACCGATTCTAACCGGATGTTAAGGGTCGAATGAGCAATAAGAAGCATGTAATTTCCTATTTCCAGGCAGAATGTGGCTCTAGACAAATATCTGCAAATGTTCATGATATACCACATTTGACATGAACGTTACTTTGAGAAGCTCTAGTTGTTTATTTAATTTATGTTAATAAGTGATCTGCTCAGAATAAAATGAGGATTCATCAGTTTTACCGTGTGACCTGGTTGATCCTGGGTCACAATGACATAGCCGAATTATTTAAAACTGTGTAGCCTTACTCAATAAAGTCTCCCTCCATTGAGTCCCCTGCAGTCTGGTTGAAGCTCTCCGAGTCCTCAATGAGAGAGATGCCTTCTTCTGTAGTGTTGGCATATCCTGACTTATCTCCCTTTTCATCATCAGACCCCAGTAGGGCCTCTTCGTCATATTCTTCTTCGGATTCATGGCCCTACATGAAGAAACAAGTTTTACACATTATCTGCAAGATACAGAGATACAGAATCAGTTTTAATCAATTTCCATTTATCACCCCAAATCACACTATGATAAGCAGATCCTGACACAGACAAGGGAGGCAACCCAAGGAGGAATGCCTGAAGGATTGCATGTAGTTGATATTTACCACTCAGCAGGGGGGATGGTAGTCTCAAATGGATAAGAACCCAATGTTATTTCTGGAATGCCAGGGTCAGCGAGGTAGCCTAGTGGATAAAGCGTTCGCTCGTCACGTCGAAGACCTAGTTTCGATTCCCCACATGGGCACAATGTGTGAAGCCCATTTCTGTTGTACCCCGCCGTGATATTGCTGGAATATTGCTAAAAGCGGCGTAAAACTAAACTCACTCACTCACTCTGCAATGCCTAAGGGAAGCAACTCTACAAAGCAAATGGCTGCAATGACAAATGAGCTCTGTCTCTCCAGATTCAATACCGACTCTCACAACAGAAATATTCTCTTGGATCACTAACAACACAGAAATTCACAAACCACTATTCATCATGGTAAAAAGGGTAAACACTGTGATAAAGTTGGTATTTATTTAAACATCGGCACACAGAGAACACGTACAATCATCTTACCATGCTCACTTTGCTCTTAGGAAAAGCATTAATTCCTCCAATGTCTTCCTGAAGAAGGTCATCATCACTTGAAAAACAAAGAGTCAAGTAGGTTCAACATAAATGTATTCCATGCACATATTTAATCATTTATTTGTAACAGAGAGCTGGGTTAAAGTGTTAAAGCCACTTTGGTATCAAGGATTATAGAACAAACAAACAAAAAAATCAACAAAATTCTTTAATTCCTTTCTAGGGTGACAGATGCAGCACTGCTAAAAATAACTAACGGGTCATACGGAGTTGGTGGAGAGCAGGGACTTACCAGGAATATCGGGGTTTTAAGTGACTCGCAAAAGTGCGTCCAGTATGCAAAAATGTAGAGAATGGAGGCAGAAAAACAATTCGCTGCATCCAGAGGGACAAACAATATTATTCACTGTACCCACAATACATCTATGACATTGCTAAGTGTTTGGTTGTTTCTTTCAGAGCAGTTACATGCATCATTTCATCCACTGGTCCACATGACCATTGATTCATCCAGGCTCTAAAGAAATTACCTTAACATACAGTTCTCTACATGGTCACTTCTCATGGCCCTCGTATCACCTGCAAGGACCCTTAGAACTAACAATTAGGGGTCCCTGGGACTCCCATATTTGTGAGTCAAAGAAAAACCCTGAATATAGTAATATATCTCTATACAAAGACCCAAAAATTGGAAACATTCAATCACATATTTACGACAAATGGACCTTGGACTTTCATGCCTAATTTCAAACACTGTACCATATCATCAGATTCTACACCGGTGACAGCCTACACATGAGTGAACGTTGCCTACCTGTCCCAGGATACCTCAGTGGGACGCCTCTTCCCACTTCTGGTTGTCATGACGTCAGTTACTTTAGAGACACAATCTGTGGCATATTCTTCTGATCAGCTGTTATGGTCTACCATAACATATCTGGAACACCAATACGTGTACCGATTAACCATTGACAAAAACAAATGAAAAACATGGAAAGGAAGTTAAACATGTGGAAGTTATGATGTCTGCAACAAATAAACCTCAAAACATCATCATCTGTACGGAACTCAGTGCCCGTGTCCGAGGTTCAGAATGGGATGAACCACCAACCTTCGTTCATCACGATCAGTCATCGGAAATAGAGCGTTAACAAACCTGTATGGGATTACGCAAGTTGATACTGTTGTTAAAACGTGTTCTTTGCATATCTGGACTGTTCAACCTAGTTTATTAATTTACCCAAATGTCATTCAACAATGTTTATATTAACTGTGGCTAAATTGTGTGTCCCTCCGATACATTATTACTTATGACACTCATATTGCGTTGACTCGCACCTCGAAATGAAGTGCAGTTGACAGAAAATAGATATGCACATATTTTGCTTCACTAAAAGTCATATTTGTTGTACTGGACCATCACATGTCAATAAACTGTTTTCCCAGTGGAAATAGCAAGATCTTGCGAAACCACATTGGTGACAGGTTAAATTGTCCCATGCATAATAACTATCCTGCAAGAAACAAAAGTGTTGTCGTACAACTTTAGTTATGACCATAAATATTTTACCATTTATAGAGCAAAACCTGCAACTAAAACAAGACAATGCTATATTATTGGGTATATTTTGTATGCTCCCCAGGGAGTTGAGATTGATAATACGACGTGCCATTGACATTGCCATCCAGTGATCAACGGAAAAACAAAGCACCTTTGAGCAGCTGAGCTGAGCTGAGCTCTGTGTGTGTGTGTGTGTGTGTGTGTGTGTGTTTTTAATTGAATCACCGGGAGATTGTGGAGAAACATGCACATATACGAGACAAATACACACAGTAATCTTAATCCCTGCATATAACACAAAGCCTAGCAAAAACAAATTAGAACAGAAAAGGTTTACAATCTTGTCTAGTGTTGTTTAACTGCAAATATGACCTCTTCACTGACAAAGTCATTTTCTCTTGTTCATTCATGTGAAGTGATATGATATCGTTTTCTTAGCACCAGAATTTTTTTGACAAATGTAACCTCAAGATAAGCTGACCCCCCTTTTACAGACTGCTTTTTGGTCCTCAAAATTTGGCTTTTCTATGGTCATATACAATAGACTAATTCAAGGCAAATATAACCCCAGACCATCCTTTATCATGTTTATTACACTTTTCCAGAACACGTGTAATTCACAAGATCATCATATATTTGAGGTGTCCGAAATGAGTTATGCAAAAATAGCAATAGACATTTGAGAAATGCTAAAACAAAAAGAAATGCTACAACTCATTTGAATACATGCATTTTGGATAGCATTTATGTTTATATCATATAAATATTATTGATTAACATGTCAGCAGTATGGCTGTTAAAGTACAACTCTGCTTATTTAAGTTGTAGTCTTATCAGTCTTACACTGGAGGAATCTGTTACTATTATTTTCCAAACGAAGTAGATGGCGGATCACTGAATATCGTAAAATGAAACCATGATAGTTTACTGTTACGAGAGTGTGTTTTTTCTGAATTTGTATTATCATTGATTAGGTGATAGTTACTATGGGTCACAATGTTTAAAGTTTGAGTGTGGGTTGTGGGTCACATTTCGCATCATATATGTTCAATGGCAATACTATTTTTAGCGGTACGCCTTTATGATAGCGCTCCAGAGTTGCCTCCCTTGGCTTTATTTCATGTTTTGACCGGTCGTACGTTCCACGGATTTCCATAAAGTTCTCAGTGGATAAAGAATGTTCTAGACTCTGTGTCAGTATATGTAAAGGCTGGTTGTTGTGTTGTCACACGGAATCACACGCGGACTAACACACACGGAATTATACAGGACTTTTCATATCATTGGAGTTGTGCCTACCGTTACATCTGTCTGCCCTCGTAGCTGACCTACACTCAACTTTCAAGAGTGACTGCCTGACTTTTGTCATTGAACTACCTTCATTCAGAATATCTGCTCTAACTAAATATCAAGGCTCGTGGTGAGATGATATCTTTTATATGTGACCCATTACTTTAGAAATCTGTATTGTGACTCAATTGCATTGTACTAAATATCTGTATTTGTCATTCATTGTATCTTGCTCATTGTTTGCTCAATATATTATTGAATATTTTAGACTTGTATGTGTTATATTTTGCTGGTTCAAAGGGGACTCTTAAACCTTTTGTCCCGGCAATTCATTAACCGTAACATTACTAGTTAGCTAAGTTTGTTTAATTATTTTCATAAAAAACACTTATAGACACGTTTTGTATCTGTGATCAGGCAGTCACACGAATGAGTGACCCCCTCTCAGGTAGTCACTTGTATGCGTAGCAGGGGACCGTCTCGCGTACATGTTACGTCCTCTACTGGTTACTAGATACATTGCTACAATTTCCTACCTACACATTAAATTGACCTGTTTTGGATGAAGAGCAGTCATCAGCTTCTTATGATAAAACAATCATCAAAATTAACTTGGTTACAATACGGGGGAAAACATACAAACCAACAAAACACCGTCTAGGTAATGTGCTGCGTAAGTACATAATTCGGGGTCAATAGAACTTCTCTTCCGTTCAGAAATCTGTTTAACAATATTAGCCCAAAAATATGAACGTGAAATTTCACTGAGAGGTTTTCACTCTATTTTAAAGACTTGGAAAACATACTTCTCTGTGTGTACTGGTATATGTTATACATACAACATCTTAAAACTCTTAGGAGGACACTACTTTGTGGACTAATGACATTTATAAATTTCTATATCCCAGTCAACTTCAGGCATAGTGCTCGAAAACTGGGCACCTGTTGATCAGATGCCGAAACATTCCCAATTTGCATAAACAACACTTTCGGTTTTGAAATATACTGGAATAAAAGACTTTAACACTTACAATTAATGCAGGCCCAAATGCATTTTAACAACGAATCCGAACAATACTGCAGTTATCCATAAATATTTCGAGATTTACTTTGAAGACAATCACGCGCAAAATGGCGTCTTGGGGTATGTCAAAATGTGGGATTGTCTTCCGAAATAGACTAAATTACCAGATGCACAGTTTGAAAGTCAATATGAATTTGCCCACTTAAGTTTACATTAATTCCACCATTAAGAAGCTACGATTGCTATGGGAAAGAACAATTGCATTGATTGACGGTATTTTCCACGTGTCGTGAGCCCCTGTTTAAACTACATTTTCCCAAATGTGTTTAATATGGCGATTTTCTAGAGCGAATTTATCTCTGTTTTTCAGAGTTTCAAATCTAAACTACAAACTCAATAAAATCTCTTTTACTCTATACAATGACTTTGACAAACAGTGTCTATGCATTAATCATCATATGTGTAGAAGTTCGAGACAAACAGAAGTTTGATACATCCATGTTCGACTCAAACGGGTTAAAACTTTGGTCAGCACGAAGGCGAGTGTGGCGGCATGCCATCTTTGCTTCAACGGCGCATTTCGTGTAACCAGTGTCGCAATCAGTCGAAGAGACAAATATTGTGTAAAATAAATAAACAAACAAACAAACAGAAGCTCTCAGGTAAAGCAGGAATATTATACCAGTGGCTTCTTAAAGTTCTCCTTCTGTTAGGTGTTGGTTTTTTTGGGTCGCCTTCGCCGGTTGGCATGTCGGCAGACCTATTCCGCCCTGGGGTGCACGGTGTGGGGCCGCGGGAAGGCGGTGTCCCTCCTTTGGACTCATGATTGAAGTGTCCCTCCCTAGGACGCATGTTGGGCCTGTCCCTCCCTGGGACGCATGTTAAACCTGTCTCTCCCTGGACGCATGTTGGGCCTGTCCCTCCCTGGGACGCATGTTAAACCTGTCCCTCCCTGGGACGCATGTTGGGCCTGTCCCTCCCTGGGACGCATGTTAAACCTGTCTCTCCCTGGACGCATGCTGGGCCTGTCCTTCCCTGGGACGCATGTTAAACCTGTCCCTCCCTGGGACGCATGTTGGGCCTGTCCCTCCCTGGGACGCATGTTGGGCCTGTCCCTCCCTGGGACGCATGTTGGGCCTGTCCCTCCCTGGGACGCATGTTGGGCCTGTCCCTCAAACCTGTCCCTCCCTGGGACGCATGTTGGGCCTGTCCCTCCCTGGGACGCATGTTGGGCCTGTCCCTCCCTGGGACGCATGTTAAACCTGTCCCTCCCTGGGACACATGTTGGGCCTGTCCCTCCGTGGGACGCATGTTGGGCCTGTCCCTCCCTGGGACGCATGTTAAACCTGTCCCTCCCTGGGACGCATGTTGGGCCTGTCCCTCCTTGGGACTCGTGATGGAAAGTGTCCCTCCTTGTATTTTTTTCATGAAGGCCTATGCATGGAGTGTCCCTCTTTGGGACGAATAGGTTGTTCCTCCTTGGGAACAATAATAATCCCCCAGAGTCACTATCTCCGTAAGCAAGTCTTGACACCATCTTGCAGCAGTCTCTTCTCGCGGTCCAGCCGTTCTTCAAGCTGGCGATTGAGTAGACCTGGTAACATAAACTCGGGCACACCCCCTGAGGATAATTCTGTAGGTTCAAACAACGATATAACTTAACTGGGTTGAAGATGTAAAAGTATAAGGTAATAGAATATATCTAAATTGATGAAACCTAAGGAAAATTATAATAATTCTTGCACTGTAATACACCTTATCCGCACATTGATATACTCTTAGTCCGTTTTAAATGTATTGCACAGTTTTGTATGCTACATTTGTTAACTGTCATTACCTTTCAAATGCGCTGCTCTTAGGCAAAACCCAGTCCAAACTGGTACTGCCTTAGAAATGCACATTCTCAATTACAAACTCCAGTAGACTGGTGCCCAGTTTCTTGTACCTAAATAAATTTAATGACAACAATTAGAGGGACAATATTGTTTCACGATAATGGATAATAGATTTATCAAAACTGTCTAATGTCAATATTGCGTGAAATATGAAAGAAACATTGCTGTCATAGCTTCCGATGTAAACAAATGCACTCATAACTCCGCACAACGCATAAGTTTAGCAAAAAGTGATCTTCGGTTTGGTCCGTACGCTGCTGTAGAGCTCATTTTGGCACGTGTTGCTAGTGATTGTCAAAACACAATAATAATAGACCGAAATAGCAAGCCAATTTCAAACAGAGTCATCACATTATGCTGTTTTAGATCTACAAACAATAAACACAACATCGTCGAATATTTGTAAGCTGACGTTATGCTTCTACAAGGGACACACCCCACAACTTCTCAGGACGACCTCAGCTGTCACTCTCATCTCATCACAGCTAGTTCCGGTTTTAATCAACCCAACATCGCCTCCCTCTGGCTTTTGTGAGCTTTTGTGAGACTCTGTAGGACTCAAAACTCGCAAGTATTTGACTGTTTCTCCCACAAGCTACACGCTAGTTGACGCCGCCGTCTTGCTGCCTCTCACTCTGCTACGCAAGTCGTCTGATGCAAACTTCGGAAATATCAAGCAGGCAAACTTGACCTAGTTTTCAAGCTCGTTTGTTTATGAACTCTTGCACAACAGGGCAGGGTGATGAAACGCCACAGTAAACTGACGGGTATATAAAATCACTTGAATGCAAAATTCCATTGAACGTGATATTTCATTTCTTCTTTCCACTATCGTCCCCGGTATCACTGCATACACACAGAACGACCAGGTGAGAGCCACTTCCTTGCTTCTAAGTTGAACTTATAAGTTTGTGTAATTAATTGAAGTTAATATCTTGTTGTTCCAGGTAAGAACAAACTATATGGATGTACAACTTCTTTGATACAGATTCTTGTATCGTTGTCAGGCAAGTACTTGCTTGCTAACGATACAAGAATCTGTATTGAAACTTCGCATCACCCGAGTAAAGAAGTTGTTCATCCATAGTTCGTTCTTATTTTTGAAGCAACCAACTTCTAAATATGCCACTCAAAGAATTTCTCATTGTTCCAGTTGATCATTTTCATCAGTGATAAACTTGTGTCAGTTCCTGTCCAAAGAATCAAGATTCTTGGAATATATATATATATATTCTGATGTCAAGTTTTATTCGAGCCATTTTAATTAAGAGTAATTTGCCATTCAGAGTTGCATGTTTTGGCTAGAATTAATCTTTGGGTTTGAATCCAAATTATTCTGGGATTATTGGTCTTAGTGTGTCAGCATCATAACTGCACTTATGGTTTTTTTTTTTAGCGAAAGAGGTAATTTAACATTTAAAATCCTATATATCACTGTATTAGTCACTAGATTGTTTGGTCTGGAATTGATTTTCCAGACTGGCATCGTATGGCTGGAATGTTGGTGAGTGCAGCATCAAACAGTTATTTCTGATATCACATAAGCTGATGTGAGGTACTGATACAGTTCAAAATGACCCCATGATTAATGTGGAATATTGCTAAAAGTCGTGTATGAACTAAGGCCCGCCCGACTGCCCGAGACCGGTTAGATTTCTGATGGACGGACTAAATGTACAGCTAGCCAGCCTGATGGTTTGGTAAAATTTTAGATGTTATATACATCTGAATAAATTCACCATATTTGGTCTGGTTAAATCCATTTTGGGCTGGTAACATTTTGAAGTCACCAGCCTGATGTCTGGCTGGATTTTGGGCTTATTTCATACACTGATAAAAGCAATGTAAAACTAAGCTCACTCACTCAGCGGCCAATTAACATTCACATATAATCTATGCTGAGTGAAGAGGAGATTTATGGACAAATATTTAGGAGACAGAGTTTTCTTTAAAGCTGTTTATTTGCCTGTAATGAGAATGATCAACATAAGAAAATGTTGATGTCTGTCTTCCCTCATCACACCAGGTGGACAGGTGACAATTACATGTGCAGTTCAAATTGACATTTTGATCACTTGCCATGGAGGCCCAGGTATGGAAGTGCACTGATTCATGTTGATAGTTGTCATGCAGAAATTGAGTGTGTAATTTAACAGAGTTCCGGCTGTAAGATTGCAGAGACCCGTGAAGATCCGGGTTAGAATTGATCTTCAGTAACCCATGCTTGTCGTAAAGGCGACTAACGGCATCGGTGGTCAGGCTCGCTGACACATGTCATCGGTTCCCAATTGCGCAGATCGATGCGCATGCTGTTGATCACTGGATTGTCTGGTCCAGACTCGATTATTTACAGACCGCCACCATATAGCTGAGATATTGCTGAGGGCAGCGTAAAACTAAACTCACTCACTCATGTAAGATTGCAGAAATGAATTTCACTCATTGTATAATTGTGAGATTTGAACCTGGGTCTTGAGCAAGACCAGCAAACACTTGAACCACTCAGTAGTCATAACATTGAGGACCCACATACATGGGCACACAGTGTGAAATGTATTCACAGTGTCATACAACAGCATAACCAATGAAGCTTCACACTCACTCACTGCATCACTCACTCACTTGCTGCATCACTTACATGCATCACTCACTGCATCACTCACTCACTTGCTGCATCACTCACTCACTCACTGCATTACTCACTCACTGCATCATCACTCTCACTGCATCACTCACTCACTTGCTGCATCACTTACATGCATCACTCACTGCATCACTCACTTACTGTGTCCCTCCCTGCATCGCTTACTATACTGCATCACACCCTGCATCACTCATTGCATCACACTATACTGCATCACTCCCTGCATCACTCATCTGCATCACTAACTTCATCACTGCATCACTAACTTCATCACTGCATCACTAACTTCATCACTGCAGCATCACTAACTTCATCACTGCATCACTCACTGCATCACTCCTTGCATCACTCCTGCATCAATCACTGCATCACTCACTGCATCACTCCATCACTCACTTCATCACTACTGCATCACTCCTGCATCACTCACTGCATCACTAACTTCATCACTGCATCACTCACTCACTGCATCACTCCTTGCATCACTCCTGCATCACTCACTGCATCACTCACTTACTGCATCACTCACTGGATCACTCCATCACTCACTTCATCACTACTGAATCACTCCTGCATCACTCCCTGCATCACTCACTGCACAACTCACTGCATCACTCACTGCATCACTGGATCACTCACTGCACAACTCACTGCATCACTCACTGCACCACTCACTGCATCACTTACTGCATGACTGCATCACTCACTGCATCACTGCATCACTTACTGCATCACTCACTGCATCACTGCATCACTGACTCATTGGATCACTCACTGCATCACTCATTTGACTGCATTACTCACTCAATCAGTAAAATAACCTTTTGTTCTTTATTTCAGTGACATCAAGAAGCAATATGGCTGCCAGTGCCAACAACATGATGACCGACACATACATCCAGTTCCTGGAAGAGGAGTTTGCCAGGAACCCGCTGAAGGCGTCGGTTATCATCCAGGCTTTGGGGAAGGAAGCTGCAGATCAGGATGCAGGTGAGTTTCACCTGTAGATAAACCTGTGATGCAGTTTGACTGTAAACATGTAGCAGGTCATGGATGACATGGAGACATCTCAGGGATGGCATTCTTATAAGTTTGCTGATGGGATTAACAATGCCAGCTGTGCTGTGACAAAACGTCCAGGAAGTATCATAGATTTACAGAAGCTTTGTTCTACATGTCAAATGACTGACAGGAAATCAAACACTGTTACATCTGGCATCAAGCTCATACATTTACAGGGCTGGTGGAGTAGCCTACTGGCTGAAGCTTTTTCTTCTCATGCAGTAGTAGTATACACAGTGGGGCTACGGGACCAGGTGTCTCTCCCCCCCCCGACTCAATTTTTTAAATAAGTCCTTAGGAAGTCCCTAATCCCGTAGCACCATTGTGTATACTACTACTGAGGTGAATGCAAAATTTGATGAAAATCGGTTGAGTAGTTTCTGAAATATTGACTTTTAAGTGAGCATGGGGTCGGTCGGGAAAAGGTCAAATGTCCAACTTTTTGTCGTAATTAAGTCTTAATTAATCTAATGAAGTCATCGAGAGTGTTCCCAATGCCATTGTGCTATAGCGTAATCATCTGCCGAGATGCATGCAAAATTTCACGAAAATCGGTCAGATAGTTTAGGAAATAATCACTTTTTAGTGAGCATGGGGTCGGTCTGGCAAAACGCTAACAATCCAACGTATTGTCGTACTTGTTATATATTATCGAGGCGAGAGGTGTTTTCAGCCGAATGAAATGCAGCTCTCGGCAGTTCTCCATGCTGCCTTGCTACCATCTCGTTAGGATGTACTTGTAGCGATGTGTGAGCTGTCTGAAAGTGAATGAAACGCAGGTCTCGGCAGTCATCACCTCGCTACCGTCTCAGGGGTTGCTTTTAGTGAGTGCCGTGGACGAGTATAAGTATGTGTGTGTGTGTGTCTCGGCTCAGTTATGATGATGCACGGCCGGCTAGCGAGGCTACGGATGTCTGAAAGTGAATGAAACGCATTTCTCGGCAGTTCCTCCCCGGGGGTCGCTTCACTGCCATCTCTGTAGCATTGAGCAAGCGCTGTGAGCCAGTCACAGTGTGTGTGTCTCGACTCGGCTTGTACAGCCGACCCGCTGGCTGGCTGGCTGGCTGGGCTACGTTATCATGATTTCTGCAAAATCATACTGCAGCTCTCGGCAGTCCCCTCGGGTCGCTTCGCTGTCATCTCGGTAGTACTGAGCGAGCGCTGTGGGCGAGTCACAGTGTGTGTGTGTGTCTCGACTCAGCTTGTACAGCCGACCGGCTGGCTGGCTGGCTGGTTACGTTATGTTGATTTCTGCAAAATCATACCGCAGCTCTTGGCAGTTCCCCAGGGTCACCTCGCTGCCGTCTCAGTAGCATTGAGCGAGCGCTGTTGGCGAGTCACAGTGTGTGTGTCTCGGCTCGGCTACTCACCTACAGCTCGCTGAGTTGGCTGGCCGGCTGGCTACGTTATGTTGATGTCCGCGCAAACAGTTTATTGTGAATCTCCTATTATTTGTTTGGTTTTCGTAAGAAAGGCTTGTCGGACCTGTTGCTTCCCTTGTTCTATGAATTTCTCAAATGACGGCGTTTTTACGAGACTTGGTCCGAATCTCTTGATTCATTCTGTGATATTTTGCGATTTCTGATAGCACCAAACGAAAAAACTCTTCTTCCCATGCTGACTGAAACCAGAGCGCTGTCAACACTGTCCACGGAACTGACGGCCCTGTGATATTTTTTCTGTAATGCCGACCGCGTACCGCGTTCACGTTCTAGTTGTTGTTTGATCTCGCATAACTGTCGCAAACGAAACCCATCTACGGTAAATGTCCGATCGATGTATTTGAGGCTGATAAGGTTTAGATTATCGTACACGTAAATATTCGAGAGATGAATCAAATTTTTTTCTATAACATGCACTCCATCGAGGCTTATTAAGGGTGTCGATCCCGGTCTTATGACGATACGACACCATTGGTGATTGTGTCTGGCTAACCAGCGTATTATCAACCCAGTCAAAAGTGTTCGTTCTGGACCCATGAGCGTGGTGTGTGATTTGATAGTGAAATTTGAATCGAAAACATCCCGTTGGTAATCGGGAACGTCAAACCGTAAATATGAAGCCATGTCGTTTGAAGCTAACATGTTGCCCGTGTGACCTGGTTTTTGTAAAACTTGTACATCAAACTCTGGAGTGAAAGACGTGAGAAGGATCCCGTTGTTCGTAATTTTGGGGGCGTAACAATTGTTTTTAAAAGATATGTTGGGTCATGTTGATCGGGCTGTTTGAAGTCTGCTAGTGACACCCGCTCGTATACGTCTTTTAAGTGCAGGACATACAAGGTCTATTCCTCGCCGGGCAGATCGAATCCACACGTGGAACAGCAGGCCGCGGACCACTGGGAACACTTCGGTATCAACGAAATCGCCTAGTTTGTTGTTCTTGCCACCACCACCAGCGGCAGTTCGACGCATTTGTAAATGTTGTTTTTCAGTTGCAAGGCATACAGTTTGCCGTTGACTCCCGGTTCGTCGAATCCACGTGTGTCCCCGAGGTCGGAGATCGCTATGTTGGCGCATTTTCTAACGCGTGTTCCTGGACCTTGTGACTCCGTTATTGTCGTATGTGCAGCGTCGCACTGAGATATCCTGTACTTACGGGATCGTGTTTAATGTCTATAACCAATATTTTAAATTCTGTGATGTTGCCTCAGATTAATTTCTTGTACTGCCGCGACGGAAACGATTCGGTTCTGCCGTCATTGTACTTTTCCATTTTCACTGGCATGGCTCACAGCAGTGTAAGGTCATTCACCTTGAACCTTGTCGGTCGTGCTCAGCTGATCGAGATGAATGCACAGTTCGCGATACGGAATGAGATCAGGTAATTTCGTGCAGGTCACGGTGGTATGTCGTTTGACGTAAACCTGAGCGTTTTAGTCAACGGCCGACTGATTCTCGGGTCGTTTTTTCCGTTGTTGGCTAACATGACCATGCCGTTTGAGTCGTTCATTTTGAGTTAGGCTCCCACGGGTTTGAAGATTTCTTCGTTGAGCGAGCACACGCTGTAGTAGCCGTCAGTTATTTGGTTGCGGACGTTATTGACGAACAGCCTGTTGTTTCTGCCGTTGGTCCATCGTGGGTAGTAGGTGATGTTGCAGAGTGTGACTACGAGCTGACCGGACATGTTATCGATCAAGTGCAGCAGTTGAATGGACTCGCCCCTCGTCATTCCTAGAAGCGTCACATACATATTGAAAAGTAGATATGTATACTATATATAACAATTCAAATATGTACAAACCAGGAGTGTTTTATTCTCAAAGTGATAATATAAGTGCTTCCGATCTCACGCAACCGAGTATTGTGGTCGATGCAAAGGATGGTTTACATTTCATAGTTCGGCTCATCGTCGTGTTTAAAAATTACGGGTTTTCGGTCACGAATGTGAAAACGGTACACGCTTTGTTTAACCACCTGATGCAGTTCTGGCAGAATCATTCAATTTCGCAGGGTGGTCGTGTACTACCAGATCCGACGTATTTGGAAAGAAATCAGCGCCCTGATTCTGCAGGACGTGGCGTGGAATGCTGTAAACAATCCATATGATCGACGTGTGTATGAACGCGTTTGCCGTGAATTTGAACTAGTTCCGAAGACGGTAGATTGGCGTTTGCCGAGTCCGAACCACGGTTTGGGCATTCCCATCGTTCACAACATGTCTCACGCGGAAGCCAGCAAACAGCTAGTGAAAGATTAGGGTTACAAGTCGTATCATTAGGTCACGACGAACGAGTGGAATTACATGGCTTTCGACGACAGCAAGGCTTACTGTGTTTGGAGGTTTAAGCAGGAACCCACGGGTTTTGTGTGGACCTGGTCCCGTAGCCCCATTGTGTATGCTACTCATGCTGAAGATCCGGGGTTGATTCCCCACATGGGTACAATGTGTGAAGCCCATTTCTGGTGTCCCCTGCTTTGATATAGCTGGAATATTGCTAAAAGTGGTTAAAGTGGCATAAATTATTTTTTTTACAACTGTAGTAGATTACTTTTTCAATCTCCATACAAAATCTGAATAACATATGATGAGTTCTCTCATTTGAGTCTGTGTATACACTATGAAAATAGAGGCACAACTGGAAGAAACTGTCAACATGAAAAAACATTTCCAGCCAATCTTGCACTACCATGAGACGATAATGTGGATATGTGTAATATGTCCATGGTGCGTTTGTTCCAGGTCCCCAGAATGAGGGAGGTAAAGGGAATGAGCAGAGCCTAAAGCTCTCAGTGTGTAATATTTCCATGGTGTGTTTGTTCCAGGTCCCCAGAATGAGGCAGTGAGGTAAAGGGAATGAGTAGAGCCTAAAGCTCTCAGTGTGTAATATGTCCATGGTGTGTTTTTTCCAGGTCCCCAGAATGAGGGAGGTAAAGGGAATGAGTAGAGCCTAAAGCTCTCAGTGTGTAATATGTCCATGGTGTGTTTTTTCCAGGTCCCCAGAATGCGGGAGGTAAAGGGAATGAGCAGAGCCTGAAGCTCTCAGTGTGTAATATGTCCATGGTGTGTTTGTTCTAGGTCCCCAGAATGAGGGAGGTAAAGGGAATGAGCAGAGCCTAAAGCTCTCAGTGTGTAATATGTCCATGGTGCGTTTGTTCTAGGTCCCCAGAATGAGGGAGGTAAAGGGAATGAGCAGAGCCTGAAGCTCTCAGTGTGTAATATGTCCATGGTGTGTTTGTTCCAGGTCCCCAGAATGCGGGAGGTAAAGGGAATGAGCAGAGCCTAAAGCTCTCAGTGTGTAATATTTCCATGGTGTGTTTGTTCCAGGTCCCCAGAATGAGGGAGGTAAAGGGAATGAGCAGAGCCTGAAGCTCTCAGTGTGTCTCCCAAGCAACCTGACGGAGCTGCTCAATATGCCCAATGACAACACACAGATCATCCTCGTCGCAGACAGGAGCGGGTCAATGTCAGGAAACCCTTGGAACCAGGTAATACACGTGATATCAGTGTTCGCGTTAATGCAAAAGCATGCATGTTTCATGCAAATAAATCTACATTTCACTCACAATATTTTCTGGGTAGTTACTGCCTTAATTCTCATGATACTGAAATGTAACATCGTCTGTTTTGACATGGTGATGGTTACCGAAATTTGGAATTCCCCAGGTTTATAAATAATGACCTCGCCAGATGGCGTGCAAAACTCAAAATAGAGTACAGATTCACTGTGTGGTCTCGAGTGTAGGTCTTGAGAACAGAAGGTTGGTGGTTTGATCCCTAGCTGTGGTGTAGTGGATAGAGTGTTGGCCTTGACAGCAGAAGGTTGGTGGTTTGATACCCAGCTGTGGTGTAGTGGATAGAGTGTTGGCCTTGACAGCAGAAGGTTGGTGGTTTGATACCCAGCTGTGGTGTAGTGGATAGAGTGTTGGCCTTGACAGCAGAAGGTTGGTGGTTTGATCCCTAGCTGTGGTGTAGTGGATAGAGTGTTGGCCTTGACAGCAGAAGGTTGGTGGTTTGATACCCAGCTGTTGTGTAGTGGATAGAGTGTTGGCCTTGAGAGCAGAAGGTTGGTGGTTTGATACCCAGCTGTGGTGTAGTGGATAGAGCGTTGGCCTTGAGAGCAGAAGGTTCGTGGTTTCATCCCCAGCTGCCTCTGTGGTGTAGTGGATAGAGTGTTGGCCTTGACAGCAGAAGGTTCGTGGTTTGATACCCAGCTGTTGTGTAGTGGATAGAGTGTTGGCCTTGAGAGCAGAAGGTTCGTGGTTTCATCCCCAGCTGTGGTGTAGTGGATAGTGCGTTGGCCTTGAGAGCAGACGTTTGGTGGTTTGATCCCCAGCTGCCTCTGTGGTGTAGTGGATAGAGCGTTAGCCTTGAGAGCAGAAGGTTGTAGGTTTGATCCCAAGCTGCCTCTGTGGTGTAGTGGATAGAGTGTTGGCCTTGAGAGCAGAAGGTTCGTGGTTTGATCCCCAGCTGCCTCTGTGGTGTACTTGATAGAGTGTTGGCCTTGAGAGCAGAAGGTTCATCGTTTGATCCCCAGCTGCCTCTGTGGTGTAGTGGATAGAATGTTGGCCTTGAGAGCAGAAGGTTCGTGGTTTCATCCCAAGCTGTGGTGTAGTGGATAGAGCGTTGGCCTTGAGAGCAGACGTTTGGTGGTTTGATCCCCAGCTGCCTCTGTGGTGTAGTGGATAGAGCGTCAGCCTTGAGAGCAGAAGGTTGTAGGTTTGATCCCAAGCTGCCTCTGTGGTGTAGTGGATAGAGTGTTGGCCTTGAGAGCAGAAGGTTCGTGGTTTGATCCCCAGCTGCCTCTGTGGTGTACTTGATAGAGTGTTGGCCTTGAGAGCAGAAGGTTCGTGGTTTGATCCCCAGCTGCCTCTGTGGTGTAGTGGATAGAATGTTGGCCTTGAGAGCAGACGTTTGGTGGTTTGATACCCAGCTGTGGTGTAGTGAATAGAGCGTTGGCCTTGAGAGCACAAGGTTGGTGGTTTGATACCCAGCTGTGGTGTAGTGGATAGAGCGTTGGCCTTGAGATCACAAGGTTGGTGGTTTGATAGCCAGCTGTGGTGTAGTGAATAGAGCGTTGGCCTTGAGAGCACAAGGTTGGTTGTTCTATACCCAGCTGTGGTGTAGTGGATAGAGTGTTGGCCTTGAGAGCAGACGTTTGGTGGTTTGATACCCAGCTGTGGTGTAGTGAATAGAGCGTTGCCCTTGAGAGCACAAGGTTGGTGGTTTGATACCCAGCTGTGGTGTAGTGAATAGAGCGTTGGCCTTGAGAGCACAAGGTTGGTGGTTTGATACCCAGCTGTGGTGTAGTGGATAGAGCGTTGGCCTTGAGATCACAAGGTTGGTGGTTTGATACCCAGCTGTGGTGTAGTGGATAGAGCGTTGGCCTTGAGAGCACAAGGTTGGTGGTTCGATCCCCAGCTGTGGTGTAGTGGATAGAGCGTTGGCCTTGACAGCACAGGTCTACTCCCACTGATTATCCTGTGTAGTGATTTCAAACCTGATGTTATACTCCGGCTATTACACAAAATGGAAAAAACAAAGATAGGAATCAAGTCACCTCATGACTGAAAAACCAACATCAATGGGACTTTGGTTGTCAATCACGACATGATAAGGTAATTTTGCAAAGAGTGAGTGAGTGAGTTTTATGCTGTTTCGAAAAGTGTTCCAGTCATATGACAGCAGGTCAGCTTCATGTAGGTGGAAAGCCTGAAGGGCTTTAGTTTATAACTTTGGAGAAACGGATACTGTGCCTTGAAACCAAGAAAACATAATTGGTGCCAACCAGGATTCAGATGCATGCTTAGCATGTCGTGCCTAAGGGAGACAACCCTTGCCTCCGATGACTTGACCCTCCATAAGAAACCTATTGAGATTGACTTCAATTTTCACAGGTGAAACAAGCTTTACTGGATGTCATCACCGACAGCCTTGATGACAGCAGTCTCCAAGTAGACGTCATCACATACGACACTTCAGCGGAATATATTGCCTACACTCGGAGAAACTTCAAGGATGTTATTGGGAAGCTTAACAGCAGAGGAAGTACCAGCTTCGAATCTGCTTTCAAAAAGATTGATGAAGTGATTGCTAAAAACTCTGGTAAGATTCCAGGGTAACCTTCCCCTCCTAGAGATTTTGATAATAGATTTACTCTGGGTTATTTCAGACCTGTGAAGATCTGGGTTACGATTGATCTTCCGTAACCCATGCTTGTCATAAGAGACGACTAAGGGGATCGGGTGGTCAGGCTCGCTGACTTAGGTGACACAGGTCATCATATCCCAATCGCGTAGATCGATGCTCATGCTGTTGATCACTGGATTAACTGGTCCAGACTCGATTAATTACAGACTGACGAGTTAGCTGGAATATTGCTGATTGCGGCGTAAAACTAAATTCACTCACTCACTGGGTTATCACCCATTTTGAGACATCTTGGGTGAAAAACTTGGTTCTTGCCCCCGGCCGCAGCGTGGAACGGTGGACTATGTATTTAGCAGCATCTGCACGTACATATGTTCCGATTCTTGTTAACGCGATATCTCATGAACTGTTGTACCCAATGTCTTGAAATCTGGTCACAGCCTACAGCCTTTGTAATAGTATTGTTTGGGCTGTTGTCTAACTGCAGTATTCCCTTATGATCCAGTACCCGTGCTTCAAACAGTTCAAAATTATTGTACTGACTGTACTCTGTATGAAAACTGTCTGCACTCGGCACTGATACTGTCTGTGCTTTGTATTGACTCTGTCTGCTCTCGGTACTGACACTATCTGTACTCTTTACTGATGCTGCCTGCTTTCTGTACTGTCACTGTCTGCACTCTGTACGGACACTGTCTGCACTCTCTATGGACACTGTCAGCTCTCTGTACTGACACTGTCTATACTCTGTTCTGACATTGTCTGTACTCTAATGATGCTCTCTGTACTATTGATAATGCCTGTACTGACACTGTTGACACTGTCTGCACTCTGTACTGACACTGTTGACTCTGTCTGCACTCTGTACTGACACTGTCTGCTCTCTGTACTGACACTGTCTGCTCTCTGTACTGACACTGTCTGCTCTCTGTATGGACACTGTCTGCACTCTGTACTGTCTGCACTCTGTACTGGCAAGTATGACTTGGCCAATAATCTGTGATTACTTCAGACATTAAATTAGGATTATCAGAATGCATCTTATTGTTTGTTATCCAGCTAAAAGATTCTCCAAAGTGGTGGTGATCTTCCTGACTGATGGGCAGGACGGACAAGCCCTGGGCGCTTCCCGCGTGTGGCAGACACGGCTGTTGGCCCTCGAAATAGACATCGTCGTGCACACCGTCGGATTCAGCCAATGTACAGTTATTTTGTTTTCGCTTTTCACCATGTAACTTAACGATTTCTCAGTTTGATAACTTTATGTAATGTTATAAGATATGAAAGAGCTTTCTGAAAAGATAGATTATTGATGGAAAATGACAAGCCGAGGCCTCCATTAACAACGGGGGCTGGGGACAGGTTCCAGAAATATGTGACCAGACGAAACTGGCAGCCATGACATCTTCTAAGATTATTTTCTATTTTTACAGCCCATGACTTCAAATTCCTCCAGTTTTTGAGCACGGTTGGAACCACAGATGGGATGTTCCGCTACTGTGAGCCTTCAGATGGGCCTGTGGCACTCAAGGCTAAGATCGAGGAACTGTTTGAATACATCTCTCTGAGGTAAATGTTGGACATTTAGGTTGTCTGCCATACTTGTTCTTACATGTGACAAAATAGTCTGCCTCACAGTCTCTCAACCATAATATTCACATTATTTTCTACAATAATCCTGCCCTTCCTGCAATGCTAAAGCCCTAAATGAAGCTAGTCTAGATTTCCTCAGATTTTGAATCTCCTATCTCACTCAGGCTCCTTTCAATGTGAATGGGATTTTATGTTACTATCAAACTTACATATATTCAAAGACAAAGCGTTAGTCTAGTGAGTGAGTGAGTGAGTGAGTGAGTTTAGTTCTACGCCGCACTCAGCAATATTCCGGCTATATGGCGGCGGTCTGTAAATAATCGAGTCTTGACCGGACAGTCCAGTGATCAACAGAATGAGCATCGATCTACGCAATTCGGATACGATGACATGTGTCAACCAGGTCAACAAGCCCTGACCACCCGATCTCTTCACCTCTTAAGACAAGCATGGGTTACTGAAGATCACATCTAACTTGGATCTTCACGGCTAGTGACAAAAGAGAATAAATTATTGATATGATTTGTATGTCTTTCAAGGATAGTGTTGGTTTGGGCTCTTGTTCAAACCAAGCAAACAAACAAATCTAGTATAACCAGACCCCGACTCATCTTTCCCTGTGTCAATGTTGTTAAATAATTTCCTCACAGCTCGGGACAAACCATTGACCTTGACCTTGAAATGGAGGGTGAAGACAAGATTGTTGGTCTGGGTTCAGTTGAGCAGACATCCACAATTCAAGGGCAGATAACTGAGACAGAGACTGATGGAGCTCCAGCTGGTGAGACAGACCTACTTTGATTTTTTTTCATAGAAAATATTGTGAATTAACAGACATGAAAAAAACTAAAAAGAGTTTAAAATGTTTATTTGTGTTCTACATTTCATATTGTTGGTTGGATCAGGCAAAATATAACTGATTATATTTTGGTTGGCAGCTTAGAAATGTATGACACTTTATGGATGACAGCTTCTTTATAATGTTATGATGCGACGTTTCGGTATAGATTCTTATACTGTTGTCAAGCAAGTGTGAGTGTGACAATGGTTTTAAAAAACTGCATCATAAAGATCTTGGTGTCCATAAAGTATCCTACCTTTCTTAAAATATTACTGGAAAAACAAATGTTTAAAATATGAAATGCAATTTTTTTATAAAATTGTTTGATCTCTGGTGTAGGCCAACTGCAAGCTACTGCAGAAAGTTGGATATACATGAAGGACCCCAACAGCCTCCCTAAGATGAAGATCAAGATGAAGAAGACGTTCAGGAAGGTTTGTATGTTGTTGTTGTTTCTTTGTTTCTTGTTTCCTTGTGGGTTGCAGAAGACCAGTCCTCGTCCAAGACCAGACCTTCACAGGTGTTTGTATGTTGTGTTTTGTTTATGGACTTGTCCCTTTCTGTTTTGACTGGGATTATCTGTTCTTAATCCATGAGGCATCCCAGGAACCTATGATGTAGGTGTTTACAGTTTACTCACTGACGGACTCACTCAATGTATCTAAATGACCAAACATCATATATAAATTTGTGACATATATTTCCTCTGTTTCAGGATAAAAAGACTTACACCCTGAATATAGCTGTAGTTGTTGATGCTATAAGCAGGGAGATGCTTACTACAGCAACAGAAAAGATTGACTGGGCAATGAAAATTCTGTCCCGAAACACTGACATCCTGACAACTAAGCTTGCTGACAAAATTGAAACCAATGGAGGTAAACAAGAATGTCTTCAGCAACCCTTGCTTGTCATAAGAGGCGACTAACAGGATCGGGTGGTTAGGCTCACTGACTTGGTTGACACACGTCATCGGTTCCCAATTGGGTAGATTGATGCTCATGCTGTTGATCACTGGATTGTCTGGTCCAGCCTTGATTCACCAACTGTTACCTGGTCTCCTGTTTTGTTGTATGTTGAGGCGATAGAAGGTTAACAGTCATCTGACTTTTCACACCGTGCCCATCCACTGCTTGGTGAACAGAGGCAATTTTTTAACAAATTTACTTGTCAAGGGTGAGACCGCATATGACGTAGACCGCATATGTACTTCATTGTGGGGCAAGACCGAATTGCTAGAAACTCTCAGGAGTCAAGCTGCCAGCCACGGCCACCCATCCAAGAACTGTCCAAATTCAACTGATTTGTGACCTGGGCTCTATACAATTACCCCGAAAAATTTCACAGACAATTACTGCTTACAATTACCCCTGAAAATTACCATGGACAGTTGCTGCTTGCAGTTACCCCTGAAAATTACCATGGACAATTACTGCTTACAATTACCCCTGAAAATTACCATGGAGAGTTGCTGCTTGCAATTACCCTGGGAAATTACAATGGACAATTACTGCCTACAATTACCCCTGAAAATTACCACAGAGAGTTGCTGCTTGCAATTACCCTGGGAAATTACCATGGACAATTACTGCTTACAATTACCCCTGAAAATTACCATGGACAATTAATTACCCTGATAATTACTGCATACAATTACCCATGACAATTATCTATGAACGCTACCTTAAATAAACCAATTACAACAATCTCTACTGTAACAGGCTTACTATTGTCAATGATTCAGATGTGAGCAAACTGCAGACTAGCCTGAATCGACTTCAGGCACGAGTGGCCAAGACACCTATGTTCGGTCCAGGCGTAACCAAGGAGATGAGGCAGATCCTGATGGACCACATCAAGGAGATCCAGCAGAAGGTGAGACGAATGGAGCGAGTGTCAAGGTCAATGTTGTCCACCATTTCGTGGCTACAGAAAGTCTTGGCGAATGCTCGTTATTTGTTTTATTAGGAGGTCATCAAAGTGGAAAGTTTTCTGAAAAACACTTTATTGCCATTCTACAACAAAAGCATTTATTTGTAAAGAGGGAAATATTCTACCAGGAACCAGAGAGAAGGAAACAGGAAAGTGGTCTGACTGTGCTGGTAATTTAACAAACAAACTTAGGTGAAGGATATAGTTTTAAACATCATGATCATCATTTTTGCATGTTTGGCTGGTTTGAGGCTCACATGCAAACATAATCATAAACTTTAGTTGAAAACTATTGGAAAACTCCTGTTCAGTATTTAGACTATTGGAGACTTTAATTGTGAATGCAATTGACCAATCTTCAGTTAACATTCATCTGACTGTTATAAGAAGAGAGAAATGACCTCCAGTCTCTCAAATAAATTCTCAAATGTTCCCCCTGATTATGATTCTTCATTTGTCAGCTTATTTCACAAAAGTGCCATTCCAAGTGCTATCAAACTCGCTCACTCACTCACTCACTCACTCACTCACTCACTCACTCACTCACTCACTCACTCACTCACTCCTCACCCAATCACTTCACTCATTTCACTCACTTCACACACTTCACACACTCACTCACTTCACACACTTCACACACTCACTCACCCAAAACACCCACCCACCCACATACCCACTCACCTCACTCACTCACTCACTCACTCACTTCACACACTCACTCACTGACTTCACACACTCACTTCACACACTCACTCACTCACTCACTTCACTCACTCCTCACCCAATCACTTCACTCATTTCACTCACTCACTCACTCCTCACTCACTCACTCACTTCACTCACTCGCCCACTCACTCTCCACTCACTCACTCACTCACTGTTCACAGATTGACATGATGCACGGCATGATGGCTCGTTACCTCCGCTTATTTCACAAAAGTGCCATTCCAAGTGCTATCAGACTCGCTCACTCACTCACTCACTCACTCACTCACTCACTCACTCACTCACTCACTCACTCACTCACTCACTTCACTCACTTCACACACTCACTCACTTCACACACTCACTCACTTCACACACTCACTCACCCAAAACACCCACCCACCCACCCACATACCTACTCACTCACTCACTCACTCACTTCACACACTCACTCACTGACTTCACACACTCACTTCACACACTCACTCACTCACTCACTTCACACACTCACTTCACTCACTCCTCACCCAATCACTTCACTCATTTCACTCACTCACTCACTCCTCACTCACTCACTCACTTCACTCACTTCACTCGCTCCCCACTCACTCTCCACTCACTCACTCACTCACTGTTCACAGATTGACATGATGCACGGCATGATGGCTCGTTACCTCCGCGGGGAAACACAGTCTGTGTCCATGCTGGCTAGAGCTCACGACCTGAGATACGAGGCCAAGGTAAGACTGTCGTTATAGCCTCCAGTCCGTGTTGTTTGTTTGTTGTTTAATGTCCCACTTCCTACTGTATGAGGGGTGGTGGGGAAGCCTAGTGGTTAAAGTGTTCGCTCATCATACTGAAGACACGGGTTCGATTCCCATGGTTCAATTTCCAATTGCACATGGGTACAATGTGTGAAGCCCATTTCTGGTGTCCCCTGCTGTGATATTGCTGGAATATTGCTAAAAGCGGCATAAAACCATCCTAACCCACTCCTTCACTCCTACTATATGAAGGCTGTCAGTAAATAATAGAGTCTGGACCAAGCGATCCAGTGATTGACATCATGAACACTGAATTGAGATACGATGTCAGGCATCAACTAAGTCTGTGAGCTAAACTGCCCATTCTGTTAGTTGCCACTTCCAACAAGCTGAGTTGCTGATGGGGGTGGTGGGGTAGCCTAGTGGTTAAAGCGTTGGCTCGTCACGCCGAAGACCCGGGTTCGATTCCCCACTTGGGCACAATGTGTTAAGCCCATTTCTGGTGTCCCCTGCCGTGATATTGCTGGAATATTGCTAAAAGCGGCGTAAAACTAAACTCAGTCAGTCAGTCAGTCAGTGAGTTGCTGATGTCTAATTCTAACCAAGACCTTCCCAAGGTCATTTCTTTTCAAATCCAACCAACTAATATCCCAACTGACTTGAGATAACATGATAAAATTATCACAAAAGTAAAACTTCATGACCTCAAACACAGGTCGCAGGCTGTTTTGACTACCATTAATGTTTTTTCCGAGTCTGAACACTCGATCACGTTAGTTGCCTATGACAATTATAGGTTGCTAAAGACCAATTCTAACCCGGCTCTTCATGGTTGCCCTGGGCCCCATTTCACAAAGCTATCGTAGCACTACAAAAGGCGTAAATTACAGTATAGTAGGTACGACAGTTGTATCACTTTGTGAAATGGGGCCCTGATCTGTCAGGAATATGCATAGAGGCATAACATATACAAAATATATCAATGTCAACTCTACTCCCTGGGCATGAAGTATATAAGCATTATCTCTGTGAAGGTCACTGTTTCCATCAATCCAGTGATCTTCACGACTGGGACATATTGTGTAAATCTACATTCCGTACGAGGATGTATTCAAAATCTCTAATTATCAGCAAGGTGTGTTCAGGGTAGAAACTTCATTTTGATTTCTTGACCTTAAAACTTCTCTACATAGTCACCATCCAGAGTGACACATTTCTTGACCTTAAGACTTTTCTACATAGTCACCATCCAGAGTGACAACATTTCTCCCAACATTTCTTGACCTTGCGTTAATCGCCTGAATAGAACCCGTGATTTAATCAAATCCAACCCTCAACCTCTTTGAATGACCTCATTGGTATCGTCAAAATGGCATCCACTTCTTGGCTCATCTGTGACGGATATATGACCGGTTTGAAAATTCCTTTTCCATCTCACAACTGTACCATAAGATGGGCTGTCTTCACCAAAAACAGATTTCAAATCCTCGTAAATCTGTAAGGAAGTGCAACTCTTCAAGTGCAAAAACTTTATAACACTGCGTGTCTCAGCCTTCTCCATACTTTGGATTACTTGTGTTCAGGATAAACTGGCACAAGATTGAATAAATTAAATAGTGTTTGGTCCATTAACTAGACAAGGATCACTGATATTACCTTCAAATTTTCATTATAATTTCTCAATAAAATCAGGTTGATAATTATAACTTTTTGATATCTCCTACAGTCGCAAATACAAAAGGTCTCTAGGCCCGTGCCAGTGACATGCCACACATGCTGGGACATGTCTAGTGAGACTGGCCTGAGGACTTCCTTTTTGTATTGTTTTTAATTTCTTCTTTGTGAAGATAACTGACAGGCTCATCAGCTGAACATTCTAATTAGCAAGTCAGTATTGAGGCCTCAGAATTCTTGCTTGATGAGTGGAGTGTTCAGACCATATCTGATATCTGTATCTTGAAAACAAGTTCGGGAACGAACAAGCACGAAAAAGCATATGTATTTTGTTGTTAGTATTTTATGCTTCCTTTCTGCAGTCAAAATTGTTGTGTTTGTTTTAGTTTAAATTTCGACACACAGTAAGCAATTGAGGAAGCTGAATTATTAAAGCTGCCATCTGATTGGCTCAAGATTCACCCTTCCTTCATATTGACTGGGTTATCACACTTCCTTCAAAATAAATGGCATCCCTACTATGTAGGTGTTGTTTGATATTTTCTTAAAGATCTGGACCCCGTTTCACAAAGCCATCGTAGTGCTATAACCCGTGAAGGTCCAGGTTAGAATGAGCCTTCAGTAACCTATGTTTGTCGTAAGAGGCGACTAACGGGATCAGGTGGTCAGACTCGCTGACTTGGTTGACTCATGTCATCGTATCCCAATTGTGCAGATTGATGCTCATGCTGTTGATCACTGGATTGCCTGGCCCAGACTTTATTATTTACAGACCGCCGCCATATAGCTGGAATATTGCTGAGTGCAGCATAAAACTAAACTCACTCACTCGTAGCGCTACGACTGCCGTAGGTCTATGTTACAGTGTATTATAGCTAAAATACATGGAATTATCATGAAACGGCCCTCCCATTATCAGAAATTTGCGGGCCGCTGCAAATGATATTGGACCGCTCAACCTTAATGACGGGCCACTATCAGTTCTGTTGTCAAGTGACATCATAGTGGGTGCGTGGGCTTACGGTTCATTCGACATTAATTGGCTTTCGACTGGCAGATATTCTGGGTCAAACAAGTCAAAGCAACCCGAATTCCCGCTTTAAATAGTGGTAATATTGGCTTTCTTGTTGGTGCTAACCTTAACAATTGCACTATTAAGGCTGTTGATGGACCAAAACCGAACACTGACATAGTTGCAGGCTATGGTCTTATCAAAGGCCAAGGTCGTATATCGTCTCTTTCTCTTGTGACGTCACTTGAAATGTTCGATGACGTAATTACATTCGGGCAGTCAATCCCCGTCAGAAGTTAATTTGGGTAAACTTACAGTCAAATTCCTTCATTGTTTCCTTTTTCTTTTCAACACAAATTCCATGTATTTTAGCAATAATAACGGTAATGCTATTTTTGAGGGCATTATCATTTGCAGAAGCCCTCAGTCTTTTTCAACTGCACTCCTTCGTCGGGCAGTTAATGGAAGACCTCTGGCTTCTGCAAATGATAATGCCCTCAAAAATAGCATTACCCTTATAAGAGTTACGACAGTCGTAGTGCTACGATAGCTTTATGAAACAGTGCCCTGATTTTGATTAGATTGACTATTTTCCTACAAAAACTGAAGGATATATAAACTGGGGTAAATTCTTTTATTATCAATTTCTCTTTCAGTTCAGTAAGAACAGACGTCAACGACTTATGGATCAGCGTGTGTCCAAGAATATCACAAAGGTCAAGGCCGATCAAGAAAAACTGAAGTCACTGGTAGTGAGTGCTGCAGAAATTGCCCAGCTATCCCAGGATGCAACTGAGTTCTTCTTCTGTGTTCTCTCCCAGTGTACTGTTAAGGATATCCTCTTGAGTAAGGATGATGTTGAGAATGCAATTGGGTTCGGATTGGCTGTGAAGCGACCTGAGCATGCGTTGGACGAACCAACAGCGGTAAGCTGACACATACAGGCGACTGCTGATGCTTATATTCACGAACGAGAGGTTAAATATATTACGCATTTGATTATGTATTGGCAAGATTTTTAATTACAGTGACACCCTGTTAATTTGGATGCATTTAATCCTGAAACCGTTTTATTAATTTAGAAACCACCTTTAATTTAGATTGGTTGGTCGGTTTGTTGTTAACGCCGTACTCAGCAGTATTCAAGCTATATGATGGCATGCTGTAAATAATCGGTCTGGAACAGACAATAAAGTGATCACCAGCATGAGTGAGTGAGTGAGTTTAGTTTTACGCCACACTGAGCAATGTTCCCGCTATATGGCGGCGGTCTGTAAATAATCGAGTCTGGACCAGACAATCCAGTGATCAACAGCATGAGCATCGGATGACTCTTGTTGAAGTTTTTATTCCATATCGATTTCTGTTGGATAACTGTTTATGTAACATTTCCACAGACTCGAATCCAAGTGATCAGTGGTACATTGGTGAGCAGACAGTCCATCTTCGACGCCCTTGAGTACAAGATATCGGTGGAAGGTCACCTCAACGCTCATGGGGGATTCGAGTTCTCTGACCCTCTTGGCTGTGCAACTGTTGGTATGGGCCGAGAGCCAATCAACGCCTGGCTTCCTCTTTACATCACAAAGTCTCACTGGGAAAGGGTCAAGGTGAGTTGAAGGTCATTCATGACATCTGATCCTGTTGAAGGTCCAGGTGTTGGTATGGGCCGAGAGCCAATCAATGCCTGGCTTCCTCTTTACATCACAAAGTCTCACTGGGAAAGGGTCAAGGTGAGTTGAAGGTCATTCATGACATCTGATCCTGTTGAAGGTCCAGGTGTTGGTATGGGTCGAGAGCCAATCTATGCCTGGCTTCCTCTTTACATCTCCTCCCGGAGAGCGGTTCGATCCCCGACCGAGTCATACCAAAACACGTTAAAATATGGTACTTGATGGTCCCTGCCTGGCGCTCGGCATTAATGGGTACAACAAGGTGTCGGCTCGGAGTCGGTATAATGTGTCTGAGTGGGGTATTCATGCTTCACTGCGGCATGGTATCTCATTGGGCTAGCACTATAAACCCAGCTTCAGTCTGGGCTAGTACAAGCAGCCGCACATACACATACACATGCATGCACGTCATCATATGAGCGAAATATTCTCAAGCACGACGTTAAACCCAATTTCACATCACCTCACCTCACCTCACCTCACCTCTTTACATCACAAAGTGTCACTGGGAAAGGGTCAAGGTGAATGTCTCACCCTAAAGACTGTTCAGGTGTTGGTTTGTGTAGGGAGGGGGTCAAATCATGGCTACTCAGTCTTAGAAATTAATTCCCTGTAATGAAGTTCGTGAGTGAGTGAATATGAGTGAGATTTTGTGAGTGTGTGATTAAGTATTCCAGAGTGATAGAATGAGCATGAGCATCAATCTGCGCAATTGGGAACCGATGGATAGAATGACAGTGTGTGAGTGAGTGTTAGTATTAATTCCACTATTTTAATGCCAATATGTAAGCTTTATCCTGAGGTGTCAAGCACGTGTGAGGAAAGCCTGAAGAGATGAAAGTCTTCACAACTTTGTCAAAACCCATGAACATTGATATGGCGCTGATGAATCTACAAACAATATCAGGATGGATAGGGACTTGAACTCATGGGCATTCATTTCTGGCATACCTAAGGGACATAACTCAGCATAGCAAAGTATGGTGGACCACCAATAATCCATGTGATGTTGACGATGTCAATGTTACTGTTGACCAGGTGATGCTGAAGCCGACGCTGGGCTACTTCTGCACACTTGACCCCCTGGGCTACGACTTCAAGCAGATGGACATCCTGTTCATGGTGCTGGGCAATATGATAGGTCAGCTCAGTGACACCACGGCCGGTGAACACCAACTACGACTGTTGTTTGCTATGCAGAGAACATGTGCAGGTCAGTTGTATAGATTTGTTTTTGGATGAAATTCTTGTAATGAAATACACAATGCCATTTTAGAAAGTGGTCAAATGTAACATGTTTTATTTGGGATTAGACTTTCTTAGTAAAGTCCGGACGTGATATTGCTGGAATATTGCTAAAAGCGGCGTAAAACTAAACTCAGGCAGTCAGTCTTAGTAAAGTACAGATTCTAGTACCATTTTTGTGGAAGCCTCGGTGGCTGAGCGGTCTAGGCGTCTGACTTTGTGTGCTGGCGATTTGGTGCCTGACTCTGAGGGTGTGGGTTCGAATCCCGGATGGGACTCAACCCTAAAAGTACTAGAATCTGTACTTTACTAAGAAAGAGTAATCCCAAATATAACATGTGTTACATTTGACCACTTTCTCAAATGGCATTGTGTATTTCATAGCTTTGTTGTTGGATAAATGTCTTGATAGAGATTGTTTTATGATAGAATTGTTGTATGATAGATTTGTTTTATGATAGATTTGTTGTATGATAGAATTGTTGTATGATAGATTTGTTTTATGATAGAATTGTTGTATGATAGAATTGTTGTATGATAGATTTGTTTTATGATAGAATTGTTGTTCGATTGATTTGCAGTTTTGTTGGATTTACTCTTTGATAAATGTGGTGACAGATTTGTTGTTTTCTGCCACAATGCGTTTTGCATAGGGTATTATTTTGGATTCATCCGTCCATTCGTGCACATTCATCTTTTCCAGAGCAGAACTTAAAAACTGTAAAATATTTCTTCACCAAACTAAGCACATAGATAGGTCTGGTGGTGAACGGTCATTTTGGTAGTTTTGATTTCTTAATAAGATATTTTTTGCAACAGGTTTGGCTTTGACTGAAATTGGTGTTGGTGCTCTTTTCCAGTGCAGAACTTTAAAACCATTCAATGTTTCTTCACCAGACTTGTTACATAGATAGGTCAGGTGGTGAACTGGTGCCTTTTGGTATATTATTTATTTCTGAATACATTACTTGTTTACAATAGAGTATTTTGCCATTGCTGGGGATATTTGAGAAGACTTTGTCTTCTTGTTGGATGCAATTGTAGTGTGAGAGATCTGTGGTTGGTTAGATTTGGTTTTGCTGGATTTGATGTTCTATAGATTTTTTGATGTACAGATTTGTTGTATGGGATACATTGTACTTGTCAGTCAGCAATATTACCGCTATAACATGAACGTAAGTCCCAAAACATTCAAAGTCAATTTAAATCTATCCCACCTTTTTAATCGTAGAATATGTTGTTGTTTTGTAATGTATGGCTAGATGTGTCTAAACTGCTAATGGCTGAAGGGATGGTGTAAATCCAGCTAGGGCCCATGCAGGAAGCAAATGTACTGTAAGTCCCCATGGTCCCTAGTATGGTTATCTACCTTCAGTTGTTGGCCGTTCTATAGCCTGTTTTTACATTGTCTTGTCATTTCTAGCTGACGTGTTTCATCACTAGTTTTAACTGGATTTCTGTGATATACTAGTAGTTTTACTGTTCTTCGTCAACAGGTTTTAATTTCTAATTTTATTAATATATGATATAATCATTAATTGTTCTCGTCACGATATGGCTGAAATATTACCTATGTGACGATAAATATTATCTCACTCACTATAACATGAATTTTGGAATATTTGGAATATTGCTGAGTGCATCATCAAACAACAGACAAAGTGACTCTGTAAGCACTGGGCCACCACACCAACACCAGTAGTATGAAGCAAAGTGAATCTTGGTGTTGTTGATAAGTGGAACACTGAATCAATTTTGTCCATGTTGTTTTTCAGCAACTGTGGTAGACTTCGACCTTCTGTCTCAGATCACAACTATTGTGAAGAACTTTATCTCCAGCCCAGAGGGACGAACAAAAGATGTCATCCCTAATCTCTCTACCCTGATTGGCTATCTGGTTTCCATGCCAACAAGTGTCAGCAGACCTCTATTTGGCTACGATCAAGGTAAGCCAACCCCATTAATACTGAGGCTCTGAAGGTTAATAATTATGAACTGAAAAGAAAGGATGGTGTAAGGGTTTGTTTTATGTCCTCATCATGATCATAAGCAATCTGGGGCGGTGGGGTAGCCTAGTGGTTAAAGCGTTGGCTTGTCACGCCGAAGACCCTGGTTCGAATCCCCACATGGGCACAATGTGTGAAGCCCATTTCTGGTGTCCCCCGCCGTGATGTTGCTGGAATATTGCTAAAAGCGGCGTAAAACCAAACTCAGTCAGTCAGTCATAAGCAATCTCTTTAAAAACTCAAACAGAACAGAAACAGAAGCCAGACATGTTTCTCTGAACATTTCTTTAGCTTGTATGGGTAATGGAAACTTTGACACAGATAAGCTGAGTAAAACATTCAGGTTAAGTGGTCTAGTGGAGGGGAGATAGTCAGATGTTCTTACAGAGAGGAACTGCATTGGAATAAAAGCTGTGATTTAATAAGAATGGAAAACATATTCTCATGCGATAAAATTTCAAGGAAATGATGTTTTGTCCTGTTGCAAATGTTGTGTTTGTGTAAATGATGATGATGATGATGATGATGATGATGATGATGATGATGATGATGATGATGATGATGCTACATGCATGGTCTGGTGATTGCATTCTTAGTGAAGCTCTATATATCTTCTTCTATTTGGGTCCAAACTGAACTAAAAATATCACATAATGATGATGATGATGATTTAATTAGTGAATGTGGAAAATTAGAGTTTGCCAAAGCTATTTACTAAATAGAAGTTTCGCCAAAATGAAAAGAAACATTATTAAATAATTGTGTGTCTCTTTCAGTCAAAGATGACGAAATGCCAGAAAAAGCCCGCCGCTTTTGGCTGGCATTTATCACAGAGTGTATTCGCAGAGGTGGCGGGTCGCTCTTCCACGCCATCAGTGACGCCAGGGTGGATGGTGTCATCGACCATCTGGTTAACCCAAGAGGTATGTAGAGAGACCCTGTATCTGGATATCCCTGTGCTGATATTGATGCCAGGGTGGATGGTATCATCGACCATCTGGTTAACCCAAGAGGTATGTAGAGAGACCCTGTATCTGGATATCCCTGTGCTGATATTGATGCCAGAGTGGATGGTATCATCGACCATCTGGTTAACCCAAGAGGTATGTAAAGAGACCCTGTATCTGGATATCCCTGTGCTGATATTGATGCCAGGGTGGATGGTATCATCGACCATCTGGTTAACCCAAGAGGTATGTAGAGAGACCCTGTATCTGGATATCCCTGTGTTGGTTTTGATGCCAGGGTGGATGGTGTCATCGACCATCTGATTAACCCAAGAGGTATGTAGAGAGACCCTGTATCTGGATATCCCTGTGCTGATATTGATGCCAGGGTGGATGGTATCATCGACCATCTGGTTAACCCAAGAGGTATGTAGAGAGACCCTGTATCTGGATATCCCTGTGCTGATATTGATGCCAGAGTGGATGGTATCATCGACCATCTGGTTAACCCAAGAGGTATGTAAAGAGACCCTGTATCTGGATATCCCTGTGCTGATATTGATGCCAGGGTGGATGGTATCATCGACCATCTGGTTAACCCAAGAGGTATGTAGAGAGACCCTGTATCTGGATATCCCTGTGTTGATGTTGATGCCAGGGTGGATGGTGTCATCGACCATCTGGTTAACCCAAGAGGTATGTAGAGAGACCCTGTATCTGGATATCCCTGTGTTGCTATTGATGCCAGGGTGGATGGTGTCATCGACCATCTGGTTAACCCAAGAGGTATGTAGAGAGACCCTGTATCTGGATATCCCTGTGTTGATATTGATGCCAGGGTGGATGGTATCATCGACCATCTGGTTAACCCAAGAGGTATGTAGAGAGACCCTGTATCTGGATATCCCTGTGTTGATATTGATGCCAGGGTGGATGGTATCATCGACCATCTGGTTAACCCAATAGGTATGTAGAGAGACCCTGTATCTGGATATCCCTGTGTTGATATTGATGCCAGGGTGGATGGTATCATTGACCATCTGGTTAACCCAAGAGGTATGTAGAGAGACCCTGTATCTGGATATCCCTGTGTTGGTTTTGATGCCAGGGTGGATGGTATCATCGACCATCTGGTTAACCCAAGAGGTATGTAGAGAGACCCTGTATCTGGATATCCCTGTGTTGGTTTTGATGCCAGGGTGGATGGTATCATCGACCATCTGGTTAACCCAAGAGGTATGTAGAGAGACCCTGTATCTGGATATCCCTGTGCTGATGTTGATGCCAGAGTGGATGGTATCATCGACCATCTGGTTAACCCAAGAGGTATGTAGAAAGACCCTGTAGCTTGATATGTCTATGCTGATGTTGATGACAGGAAGTATGTGGTTTTCTGGACTGGACTATCAACCAGGTGTTTTCTGAATCAATTCTTCATGGTATTTTGGAATAGAAAAATGTTTCGCTGTTTTGCATGGGCTTGAAAAAAGCCTGTCATTTGGTTATCTTACCCCAAAAAGCCCTTAATTTGTTATAGCCCAAAAAGGGACCTAAATTTAACAAAGTTTGTCAAATTATGCTTTTACAGGAAACTAAGACCAGACCAATTTTATTTCTTGTTTTACGGATCCGCCTGCCATATTTTTTCAAGAATAATAAAAATAATAAAAATAAATTTCCCCCACTCAAAAAGTAAATGTTTTTATTGGCCAAAAATGTAAAATTACAAGAAAATTCCCTCTAGATTGTTTTTTGCCCCATATACACATCATAACTTGCCAGAAGTATAATAATTTTAGTATTTACAAGGAATATTACTTTGATTATTTATTGTATTTATATTTTTTTCCCTCCTGCCTTTAGGTTTTCTGAGGACAAAAATCTGTAAAACAAGAAATAAAATTAGTCTGGCCTAATACATGATAGAGATACCTTGCAATGTCAGTGGGTGTTGTTAATATTCACCATGAAGAAAAACTTTCCCAGTGCAACGATGTAGATAAGAGTTGTTTGCCTCTGATGGTCGGTCCCACATTTGGCTAACCTTGTGTGTTATATCTGTTTCTATAGTTCCTAAAATTGTTGATTGGGCCTTGAAAACCATTGGGATTCAATGACATTCCATTGTGGCGAAAAAATTAGTTGATCTCCTTGTGGGTCACCGGGCTTATTCTTTGCAAAAACATGGGGAAATGAATTCAGTCAATCACATTACAGTATTTCAATGAACACTCAAACAAATTAATTGATAATAATTGACCATCTGCTTTCCAGCAATGACGTCAACAAAGAAGAATGCAAGGGAGACAACTCAAGCCCGGCTTGTGGAACAGTGCAGGTGTCTCCAAGATGTGGAGACTGCTAACATTAAGCTGAAGATGACGGACTTTGACCCCGTAGCTGGACTGAAGCCACCTTCTGTAGAACTGAAACACTCATTGGCAGTGGACAAAGCCATGGATATCTGGGGCCAGGCAGAGTGTGGAGCCATAAAGGTAGGCACAGTAGTCTTGTGAGCTGGTCTTGTTGTCTGTGTGGAGCCATAAAGGTAGGCACTGTAGGCTAGTAAGCTGGTCTTGTTATCTGTGTGGAGCCATAAAGGTAGGCACTGTAGTCTTGTGAGCTGGTCTTGTTGTCTGTGTGGAGCCATAAAGGTAGGCACTGTAGTCTTGTGAGCTGGTCTTGTTGTCTGTGTGGAGCCATAAAGGTAGGCACTGTAGTCTTGTGAGCTGGTCTTGTTGTCTGTGTGGAGCCATAAAGGTAGGCACTGTAGTCTTGTGAGCTGGTCTCGTCTGTGTGGAGCCATAAAGGTAGGCACGGTAGTCTTGTGAGCTGGTCTTGTTGTCTGTGTGGAGCCATAAAGGTAGGCACTGTAGTCTTGTGAGCTGGTCTTGTTGTCTGTGTGGAGCCATAAAGGCAGGCACTGTAGTCTTGTGAGCTGGTCTTGTTGTCTGTGTGGAGCCATAAAGGTAAGCACGGTAGTCTTGTGAGCTGGTCTTGTTGTCTGTGTGGAGCCATAAAGGTAGGCACTGTAGTCTTGTGAGCTGGTCTTGTTGTCTGTGTGGAGCCATAAAGGCAGGCACTGTAGTCTTGTGAGCTGGTCTTGTTGTCTGTGTGGAGCCATAAAGGCAGGCACGGTAGTCTTGTGAGCTGGTCTTGTTGTCTGTGTGGAGCCATAAAGGTAGGCACTGTAGTCTTGTGAGCTGGTCTTGTTGTCTGTGTGGAGCCATAAAGGTAGGCACGGTAGTCTTGTGAGCTGGTCTTGTTGTCTGTGTGGGAGCCATAAAGGCAGGCACGGTAGTCTTGTGAGCTGGTCTTGTTGTCTGTGTGGAGCCATAAAGGTAGGCACTGTAGTCTTGTGAGCTGGTCTTGTTGTCTGTGTGGAGCCATAAAGGTAGGCACGGTAGTCTTGTGAGCTGGTCTTGTTGTCTGTGTGGAGCCATAAAGGCAGGCACTGTAGTCTTGTGAGCTGGTCTTGTTGTCTGTGTGGAGCCATAAAGGTAGGCACTGTAGTCTTGTGAGCTGGTCTTGTTGTCTGTGTGGAGCCATAAAGGCAGGCACTGTAGTCTTGTGAGGCTGAGCTGGTCTTGTTGTCTGTGTGGAGCCATAAAGGTAGGCACGGTAGTCTTGTGAGCTGGTCTTGTTGTTTGTGTGGAGCCATAAAGGTAGGCACTGTAGTCTTGTGAGCTGGTCTTGTTGTCAGTGTGGAGCCATAAAGGCAGGCACTGTAGTCTTGTGAGCTGGTCTTGTTGTCTGTGTGGAGCCATAAAGGTAGGCACGGTAGTCTTGTGAGCTGGTCTTGTTGTCTGTGTGGAGCCATAAAGGTAGGCACTGTAGTCTTGTGAGCTGGTCTTGTTGTCTGTGTGGAGCCATAAAGGTAGGCACTGTAGTCGTGTGAGCTGGTCTTGTTGTTTGTGTGGAGCCATAAAGGTAGGCACGGTAGTCTTGTGAGCTGGTCTTGTTGTCTGTGTGGAGCCATAAAGGTAGGCACTGTAGTCATGTGAGCTGGTCTTGTTGTTTGTGTGGAGCCATAAAGGCAGGCACGGTAGTCTTGTGAGCTGGTCTTGTTGTCTGTGTGGAGCCATAAAGGCAGGCACTGTAGTCGTGTGAGCTGGTCTTGTTGTCGGTGAGTGATGGAGAGCAAATCTTATTGTTGTTGAGTGAGTCTTATTACTTTTCCTTATCCTGACTCATGATTATTGCTTATCTCCCTTCTCCTATGACGGTCAAGTGGAAACCTTGAATCCTATTCAAATTCTCTGGAGCATCTGTACAATCACTCACTCTGAGTTACCTCCCTTGTTCCCACCAAAATCGGTCCCACGTGACCTGAGACTAGCTCTTATCACTCTCTCCTTCATCGCCTTCACCGATGGTCGGGCGGTTGTGGCAGATATCCTTTCATTTCGGCCTTATATTATACATTTGAGGCCGCAGATTGTATTTTGATCCATATTAAATGCTTGAGTATGTATCTTATCATGTACATTTCTACTAAATTATGCATTTCACTTCGTTGCAGGTGAGGTGTTGTTCAATGGTGGCATGTCAACAGTGCAGATTGGGACTATCTGAGTTTGATCCACATCCTGTTAGCTCCTCTTGTTGCCTTCATACGTGTTCTTTTGCATCACGTTGTCAATATTGCATTAATTTATCAACACATTTGTTTACTAAATATTCATCAGCCTGCTGACGCAGGACTATAGATAAACAGCATCATGTCAGCGGTAAGGGGTAGCTCTCACATAATGAATACTAAATGTCACAACACAATATGGAGAATTTCCCAGGCATTTCTGAAACAGCTACGTAGTCTACTTAAAAGAGAAAGTCATCTCGACTTGATAGATCACCGGTTTTAGAACCGCAGATTATCCTGACTACATCTCAGACTACGTCTACTAGAGAACTCAGGTTCGCAATAACATTCATCAAAATTGTCATCATCGTGAAAGAAACGTTCGTCCCAGCGCAGATCAACATCTGGGTTCGCGAACCCTTCTACAGACAATCAAAATAGATCATCACAAACATCGTAGACTACGACAACGTCTACTGATCATTCAACCTCATCAAACCAGACAAATGTTGCGCTACAGGCAGAAAGAGAATTTTCATCTGAAGGAGGGTTCGCGAACTCTCAACAACATGTAGGGAAAGAGAATTTTCATCTAACGGACTCAACAACAACATGTAGGGTTCCGAACCCTCAGCCAGATGGAGGGTTCTCGAACCCTCAACAACAGAGAGCTTAACTCATGTATTGTTATCATCACTCAACAAGAATTCTAGACTTGGAACAAGCCTTATTCAAGGGATTTGGGAGGTGTTTGCAAAAGGCGTAATATTATGCATTCTCAGCCAACTACAGCATCAGAATATTCATGAGAGCCAACTTGTTACAACACCGGTGATGTCACATACTGCAAGCTGATTGGTCCAGGATGGAAGGCAACGCCCTGTGGAGGCCTGACACGCAGATCAACTGGTTGTAAACAAACCCATTATATGTGGGAATACTTCATCTACAGCCTGAGAAACAGTATACTACTCTATCTAATAGAGGGTTCACAAACCCTTGTGTTGGCAGACACATCTGTGCAGCTACTCACGCAGTGCAACAGTTAGAGACTAAACATCTGAAAGGATCTACACTTTCAACATATTGGGAGGCGATCAACCCAACTATCACGATGTACATGGGTGTTAAACTCACCATAGTACCTGAACTCGTTGCCCTACTGAGACCATTTTAAATGAATGATCAAGAGCAGTGAATTAGAAGCCCAGCAGGGGATCTTAATATAGTGCTGCAACATCCCACCAGCGATGTCTACAAACTTTAAGAGACACAACTTGAGTTGTTAACTCAAAAAAGCAATATTTTTTCTTATCCTGACTCTTTGCTTATGTCCCTTTTCCTTGCGAATGGTAGTGGAACACTTGAATCCCTCGAAGTTCCCGAAGCATACGTAAAAATACGCTCACCCACGAGTTACCTCCCTTTTCCCGCGTAAACAGTCATGTGACCAGTCTTACTTGTCACTCTCTCCCTTTTCGCCCAAGTGGATGGTTGGGCGAGCACTGGAGTCCCGTATACAGCATTATATCCTTCTTATTTAGGTCCTATTCTTCAAAATTATGCTGTGTATGGATTTGGCAAAAACTACTATGTATTATATGTAAACAATTTTGTAAAATTTATTTGTATTTGTGTCATAATTTCAACGTTATGTAACTTTGTTTACATTTCATGAAATCTTGCAGTGTTTGCAGGCACAGGTTATCCGTGGCTGATCCTCACCCCCAGTGCCTTTCGTGCATAAAACCATATTCTTCCAGCTTGCGCTGTACTTATTGTGTTGATTTATCAAATCTACAATTTAATCAATATTTGTCTTATATCTATGCCGTGCCGTGGATCGGGTGAGGAAGTCATCTCAAGTCACGGCTGATAAAACAGGAGATCAGCCTGCAAATCGTATGTTGATTGCTACTGCGGAGATTCATAATACTGGTGCTATGTTGAGTACGTTGCAGGGGCAGTCAGCTGGTACGGGGGCCAAGAACAGATTGCCTACAACGCAGTTGTCTTCGACTCAAGCTAAGAAAAAGACGTAGTCTTCTTCTACGTTGCAGAAGAAAGCATCTACTGACACATCTACTGTCATCTACTGACTACGTACGCAAACCTACGGACCTGCGCGAACCTATGGACCTGTGCGAACCTACTCCACATAGAACTATGTCTCAAGACTACGTTGGCGAACGTACACCTTGGCGAAGGTCTCCACAGTCTAACCACTTTGTCATCTTGGAGGAGGGTAGAAGACATGAGATGCCTACTCACCGTTCTACATCTGCGAACCCTCAACGTTCGAGAACATCGAAGGATTCATCTCCTACACCTAGCCGTTCTAGATCGAGATCTCATATCTCTCACAGACGTTCGCGTAGTCACTCATCACGAGACAGAGGTTCGCGAAGAGAAGGCTCACATCACAGAGGTTTGTGAAGGGATACATCTAGCGACAGAGGTTCGCGAAGAGATGAATCCACAGACAGAGGTTTGCAAAGAGAGGACTCTCAAGATAGACGTTCTCAAAGGGAGGAATCTTCAGTTCGCGAAAAGGATGATGGAGGTTCGAGAAAGGATACATGTTGGCAGAAGGATGATTCGCGGAGGCATAGCTCTACCAATCAGGAGATAACTGATATATAACCAGACTTCGTCTTCCCGGACTCGGAGGTTACAGCTTGGATAGCCAATGGTTTGAACTTGGAGTCCCCTTCTAAGCATATAGATGAAGTCTACACTTATAAGATGCGTAATGACGATTTTGACTCGGTGACTATTCCTCCGATTGAACCTATATCCAAGGTACCTTCTAACCTACGCACAGCTTTGAGAAAGCCGCAGACATCTACAAGGTTCGATAACTCTCCGATCTACTGGCAGATAACAGCAATGCAGACATGTACAGGGTTTGCGCACCCTAGGGTTATCAAACCCTTACATCAACAAGCAGGATGTTGACGTCGACTCTGTTAAGGTACGGCTGAATAAAACGAAGCAATGATGAAAACGTATGGTTTTGTCAGAGTTTAAAACTCAACAAAAAGATCTACAACGATCTCTACAGTTTACAGCCTGCACAACTCTACAACCTGCACAAACCTTATACCTGTTTAGGTTCAGTTTCAGACGACAACCTACTTGATGAAAGGAATCACTTCATCTATACGGATGCTGAGGTCTTATACTGGATAGCAGATGACCTGCGGATATTGTAGTTCACTCACTAACTCCAACCCAACAGAGGCGTACTGCATATATGCTGATGACTTCGACTCCAATATGATATCACCTGTAAACAAATCCGTGGTACGGGGGAATACTTCATCGGCAGCCTTGGAAACAGTATACAACTACGGCCTGTTATCATCATGGGAATCTAATAGATGTCTATCCTTGACAGCAGGATAAATGATGTTTATTTTGGAAGTTGTTGCTGATAAAAGTCGTTATGAGTATCTGTTCCCTGCAATGCTACACTGGAGCCAGCCTTGCTATAAATAGACAACGCTTTGATGTATGCTGATCTACACAGATTGCCTGCATATATAAGGGGAAGAATGGTGTATCATCACTGCAATCAGTGTTTAGCACTTCCAATGGAACGTCCTACCATTTGGAATATCGTCGGCTCTATGATTATTCGTACAAATAATCAAGCCTATCGGCACCTATCTGCAGCATTGAGGTCTACGCAGAGCCGGTTATCTGGACGACGGCATACAGGTTCTTCAAAGTGTCAATCAACTCAGACAGCAGCTGAACTTCACAATTAAGTTGCTCACGTAACTAGGATGGCTAGTGAACCTTATGAAGTTGGAGTTAGAATCAAAACAAGATCTACAATTGCTGGGAATAAGAATTATCACAACACAGAATCGAATTGTGGTCCCAGAATATCATTGGGTCAAGATACAAGCCATGATTCCACAAGCAGTCATCTCTCCGTTAACACTACGAACATGGCAATGTCTACTCGGTCTACTAACCTCGGCGCAGGACTTGACTCGCACAGGAAGCTTACAACTAAGGCCGCTGCAACGGTTCCTGACAAAACATCTGGACAGCGTCGACCCTATCTTGCTGCCAGACAATCTCAAGAGGTACCTACTTTGGTGGACCCACAGGTCGAACGTCTGCGGAAGGACCTATTTACAAGAGCCCGCCTTCGACACACATCTCCACGTAGACGCATCGATACAAGGTTGGGGTGCACATCTCAACAATCAAGTTGCATCAAGGAGGTGGTCCAAAACAGAGCAGCATCATCACATCAATCTGCTGGAGATGAAAGCTGTGATCAACGCCTTACAACTATGGTCGAGCTCGCTGATCAACTGAATGCTGATGGTCAACACGGACAACTCTACAGTGGCATTCTCCATAAATCGGCAAGGATCTACAAGATCACCAAGCCTACCACAGCTCACATTCCAGTTGTCTGACATCACGGAGGAGGCAAACATCTGGATAAAGGCATGTCACATACGTGCTTGCAGAGCCAAGACTCTCCTTGCAGATGCTTTCTCCCGACCACTGCACCCGTCACCTACGGAATGGATGCTCCATCCAGAAGCATTTGGGCTCGTCATAAGGGAAATTGGATCCCCTTGCATAGACCTGTTGGCCACGAGGTTCAACATACAACTACAGACGTTTGTCTCACCAGTTCCAGATCCTCAGGCCTGGGCAACAGATGCACTGAGCATATCCTGGGAAGGACTAAACGCTTACGCATTTCCACTTCCGATATAACTACCAAAAGTACTGTTGAAGATCAAACAGACACAGGCGCTACAACTGACTTTGGTTGCGCCATACTGGCCAGCAAGAGTATGGTTCCTAGACCTAAGTCCAACAATCAAGTTACCAGATGGGCCGAACCTACTCATACATCTGCACACCAAGCAAGTACAGCAACAAGAGAGATTCATGCTCTCGACTTAGTACAAATGAGATTCGACACAGGAGAACATGCTGCAGTCCACAGGAGAACATGCTGCAGTCCATCTAGGACTAAGATGGGACTTTATAGCTAAGAATCAACTACCTGGTCAACCAGATCGTCAACTTCTTGTACCAGCATTATCATCAGTCCTCGGACATCGAGACACAGAGGACTTGAGTGCTAAGAATCTATTTACAATGGACTGCTACGAGAAGGAGAAATTTTAAATGTCTCATCATTCCATTATCACCCACCATGACAATTGTGGTTTGTGAACCACAATATCATTCTGGATCAGAGCAGTGATATTACGAGCCTACAAAGCAGCAGGATTAGCGCGCTGCCTTCAGCATCTAATCCACACGAAATAAAAGCATTAACATCGACACTCGCACTACATGGGAACTGATTGTTATCATCCATCATGGAAGGCTGCTTTTAAAAGTCTGACATGGTGTTTGCAACCACTATCTACAAGATATTGCTTCAAAGAATAAATCTGGCATTCACCAGTTTCGTCCACTAGTAGTGGCTCAACAGCTCACGAATCCAGCCAGACATTGAGGAACTCACCCTAGTCACGTTGTCTTGTAGACGCTAGGCAACTCTCCCACCACCACCAGCAGAGAGTCCATGTCCACCTGTCTTACTTGATAAGTCTTGAGTGATATAAACCTTGTTAAGTAACAGTCCTTACTTAACGTGCGGGTTGCAATTCCAGTTTTGGTAATAGTCCTTACCTTAACATATGGGTCGTTCTAAAGATACCTAGAATACTATATTTATCTAAATCCACGAAATCTATAAGATTTACTTCTCTTTATCTGTTAAGAAAAGGTGGTCCCCCAATATAACATCTAGACAACTGAAGGCTGCAACAGGAATTACCAGGGAGTAAGCGTTCAGACTGTATATAGACAGCCACAGTAAATCCTGTAGGTGGCTGACCCACCACCTATTCCGTCGGATTCTGTAAGCAATAATCATGAGTCAGGATAAGGAAAAATATGTAATTTTTATGGTAAACTTATTATTTTTATACTTATCCTGACTCATGAGGTACGCCCTCCCGTCTGCCCCCACTCTCAGCATTACGGTCTTCACTGTAAGTCGCAATGCGGGCATATTACAGAGAGAGTAATAAGAGCTAGTCTCGGGTCACGTGGGACCTGTTTTGGCGGGAACAAGGGAGGTAACTCAGGGTGAGTGATTGTACGGACGCTTCAGAGAAATTGAATAGGATTCAACTTGACCGTTGAAGGAGAAGGGAGATATGCAATAATCAGGAGTCAGGATAAGTATAGAAATAATAATTTTATCACCCGATCACGTCAGTTAAGACAAGCATGGGTTACTGAAGATCAATTCTAACCCGGATCTTTGCCTTGTGAGTCTTTGTTGATGAAGGTGAGTGACTTGTGGTCTGACATGGAACCAATCATGGATCTTAGCCTTGGTTTTCTCCTCTGAGGCGTGTTGAGTAGCTTAGTGGTTCTCGGGAAGCATTTGCTCATCACTCTGAAGACCCAGGTTTGATTCCTCTCATGGGTTTCATGTTTGAAGCTAATTAATGGGTTCACCTGTCATGATTTTGCTGGAATATTGCTAAAACTAATCAAACTAAACTCACCTGTCCTCCCAGAACAAGTGCAGAGAGGAACAGGTGTCGAGAGCCGGCAAGGAGGTGAAGAGATGGTTGAAGGAGGGGAGGATGCAGGCTGGGGTGGACACTGAGTCGGGACAGACACCACAACATGAAGAGGGCGCTACTAAGAAGGAGGAGGCAGAAGATAGTTATGACGTTGAAGACATTGACTCAATGATCCTTGAGGTTACAGCCAAGGTATGACACAGATTTCTGATCATCAATTTTTGGGCCAGTGAAGGTGAACTTGCAGTTTAACAAAAGTTACCTCCCCTGTAGTTTATCTAGAGTTACCTCCCTTAGGCTCCTTATCCGTTACAGTAGTTACTTCCCCACCTCCCTTGCTGAAGAGTTTCTTGAAGATGCTGAAGGAGAAAAGTTAAATTACTTGATAGTTATTATAAACATATACATAGTTACCGTCATGGTATGATAAACCTGACATGATAAACATACACACAGTTACCGTCATGTTTTGATAGAACTGACATGATATACATATACACAGTTACTGTCATGGTGTGATAAAACTGACATGACATACATATACACCGTTACCGTCATGGTATGATAGAACTGACATGATATACATATACACAGTTACCGTCATGGTATGATAGAACTGACATGATATACATATACACAGTTACCATCATGGTATGATAGAACTGACATGATATACATATACACAGTTACCGTCATGGTATGATAGAACTGACATGATATACATATACACAGTTACCGTCATGGTGTGATAGAACTGACATGATATGTACATACACAGTTACCGTCATGGTATGATAGAACTGACATGATATACATATACACAGTTACCGTCATGGTATGATAAAACTGACATGATATACATATACAGTCATGATATACATATACACATTTACCGTCATGGTATGATAGAACTGACATGATATACATATACACAGTTACCGTCATGGTGTGATAGAACTGACATGATATACACATATATACACAGTTACCGTCATGGTCATGAACTGTGATAGAACTGACATGATATACACATACACAGTTACCATCATGGTGTGATAGAACTGACATGATATACACATACACAGTTACCGTCATGGTGTGATAGAACTGACATGATATACATATACACAGTTACCGTCATGGTGTGATAGAACTGACATGATATACATATACACAGTTACCGTCATGGTGTGATAGAACTGACATGATATACATATACACAGTTACCGTCATGGTGTGATGGTGTGATAGAACTGACATGATATACATATACACAGTATACCGTCATGGTTACCGTCATGATATGGTATGATAGAACTGACATGATATACATATACACAGTTACCGTCATGGTGTGATAGAACTGACATGATACATATACACAGTACACATGCATATACACAGTATACATATACACAGTTACCGTCATGGTATGATAGAACTGACATGATATACATATACACAGTTACCGTCATGGTATGATAGAACTGACATGATATACATATACACAGTTACCGTCATGGTGTGATAGAACTGACATGATATACATATACATGATAGACATATACACAGTAACCGCCATGGTATGATAGAACTGACATGATATACATATACACAGTTACCGTCATGGTATGATAGAACTGACATGATATACATATACACAGTTACCGTCATGGTGTGATAGAACTGACATGATATACATATACACAGTTACCGTCATGGTATGATAAAACTGACATGATATACATCTACACAATTTACACATTTACTAATCATGACTGTATGTTTCTTTATAGCTTCTTGAGAGAATCACGAGAAACAGCTTCCCAGGTCTGAATTCCATCCCAGGCTTCATGGCTTTCCTCCATCACTGGCTTGTGAAAGAACGAAGCTATGAACATATGGACAAAAATGGTGGCTTGGCACCCTACATGTGGATCGGTGGGGTCAAGGTTGCTGTTTCGGAGATGTATGCCAGAATGAATGGTGAGGAGAATTCAGAGATGAGTAATACAACAATGTTTTTTGACAGGCCCATATTTTTTATTTAATTCTTAAAGCAGTAATCATGGTAAGATCTTATTCTTTCAACTAGCATATCTAGCATTACAGAAGCATATTTTGAAAACAAAATACACGAAGAGAATATTGAATCCAATGGGAGTTATATGCCCCAAACCTTTGGTCTCTTCATGTTGTATGACAGTCTGGCTAGACAAGCATCATTTTCCTCTATCCTATGATTCAAAGCTGGTTCTCGATTCTTTTTTTTTCATTAGAGCAATTTTGTTTGCATTGTCTTTTAAGCCTCATTCTGCTATCAAGGCAGACTCCAGTGGCACAGAAGCACATTTTGTCATATTTGTCATGATGTAATGTTAAAAAGAAAGAGACTGAAAAATTCCTTAGAACATTTATGTTCTGAAATGTCTAAAATTATGTTTTCAAAATTTCTGTTTTTATTGAGTAATTTATTTCGAGGAGCGTTCAAGCTTCAAATGGTCAACCGCCGTGAAGGTCTGGGTTAGAACTGATCTTCAGTAGCCCATGCTTGTCGTAAGAGGCGACTAACAGGATCGGGTGGTCAGGCTCGCTGACTTAGTTGACGCTTGTCATCGGTTCCCAATAGTGTAGATCGATGCTCATGTTGTTGATCACTGGATTGTCTGGTTCAGACTTGATTTTTTACAGACCACCGCCATATAGCATTGCGGCGTAAAACTAAACTCACTCACTCACTATTCAGCTGGGGGCAGTAGGGTAGCCTAGTGGTTAAAGCGTTCACTCGCCATGCCCTAGACCCGAGTTCGATTCGCCACATGGGTGCCCATTTCTTTTGTTCCCCACCATGATATTGCGGGAATGTTACTAAAAGTTGCGTAAAACCCAACTCACTCACTCACTCCTTATTCAACTGGCTTAGTTCAGTGCTTAAAACCTACACAAACAATGTCTGATTTGTGCCTGACATGAGTGAGAGTGTTATAAAATGCCTGTTATACATGCCTATAACTAGTCACGAAAAAATGAAATATTTTCAGAATTTCTTCACACTTGTGAGGCTGAAATAAAGCAAACTGAAACATCGGATCCAAATACTTTGGTTGTCATGGCAACGGATGAGGAACTGAGGGCAGCTTCTACCAACACAGTACCTGAACCAGACGTGTCAACAGGGGAGGTAACTGCTGCTGACGATGTCAAGGATGTTGATGATGCAGATGATAATGCTGCAGGAAGTGACAGTGATGGGTTTGATTATGTAAGTGACGATTCCGAGGATGACTATGCTCGGGCAAGACAGAAGCGTGCAGTACAGCGACGCATCAGTCTTCCCATGATCCTCCACTGTATAAATGCCGATATGAATCAAGTAAACATGATTCGAGCGATGCTATGTCAAGCTGCTGCCTTCCACTCCAACAGCCGGGCCAGGACGGGAGCCAAGGGAGGACAACTCAAGGACCTTGGTTGTGAAGGTGAGTAGCAGCATCAGTGCATCATGGGATAGGGAGGAGGTGGTTAATGTGTTTGCTCGCCAAGCTGAAGACATGGGTACAATGTGTACAGCCTAGTGGGTAAACCTGCCTAGCTAGTAAGTGAAGGTTGTTGGTTCAATCCAGGCATAGGCACAGTATATTGGAAGTTTTCGATAATGTGATATTTTATGACCGCATTCAGTAATAGCAAGACAAAGTTATATCAATCAAAACTTGTACAAGTCAAATAATTCAAGGTCAAGGGCTATTACTCAGAAAATCCCTGGGCAGTTCTACAGAACACCCCTGGAACATGGGCAATTCTGAAGAAAATCCTGGGGATTTCTTGGAGAATGCCCGCAAAACTTGCACAAAGTATAACACTGCCTGATGACAGTACAATGTACAATTATATTTTCAGGAAATGCTGTGGTTACCCTCCACGACTTCCATGTCCTGCTAGAACTGCGTCGAGATGGAGCACTAGGGGGTTTGATAGACAAGGTGCTGTGGGAGAGAGCCAACTACAGTATGCTGCATGCACAGACAGTGTGGGCCTTTATCGGTGAGTCGGGAACACAGGGCTCGGGAATGCACACAGGGGGCTTTATCGGTGAGTCGGGAACACAGTCACGGTCTTGCTCTCCTGCATGCACAGACAGTGTGGGCCTTTATCGGTGAGTCGGGAACACAGGGCTCGCGGTCTTACTCTCCTGCATGCACAGACAGTGTGGGCCTTTATCGGTGAGTCGGGAACACAGGGCTCACGGTCTTACTCTCCTGCATGCACAGACAGTGTGGGCCTTTATCGGTGAGTCGGGAACACAGGGCTCGCGGTCTTACTCTCCTGCATGCACAGACAGTGTGGGCCTTTATCGGTGAGTCGGGAACACAGGGCTCACGGTCTTGCTCTCCTGCATCACAACATCAGCCGTGACGATCCGGGTTAGAATTTATCTTCAGTAACCCATGCTTATCGGAAGAGGCGACTTACAGGATAGGGTTGTCAGGCTCACTGACACATGTCATCGTATTCCTATTGTATAGATTGATGCTGTTGATCACAGGATTGTCTGGTCCAGACCTGTTAATTTATAGACCGCCGCCATATAGCTGGAATATTGCTGGGTGCGGCGTTAAGCAGCAACCAACCAAGCAGTGTCCACCTTGCTCATTGGTTCCGTAACCCAGCGTCACCAATGATCACCAACTGGAAAGTGTAAATATCCCGAGAATTATAGAATAAAACTTAATGTTGTGTATACTTGTGAAAAATATTACTGCAAGCTTATTGTTGTCAAGAAAAATATCTGTTGTTTAAATTGCCAGCCTGACTGTTTTTCTCTGGTTTTCTCACCTGAAACTAAATCTGTTGTTTGATGGATAGGAAGTTGTCCTGGTTCAATCCCATAGCTGTAGCTTACATTAAGACAGGGCTCCAGATAAATTTTCAACATCAGGAGATGTACTCCTCATTTTTTTCAATATAGGTGTACTGGATAAACTTAAGAGTACATTTTGAGTACTGAATGGAATTTAAATGGCGTATCAGTAATCTTGTTTTTCCTTCACATATGCACCACAACATTGCTAGTCTTGTGTAAACAGGTCAATAAACAATAAAACAACACTCTTTCAGATAAATATACGTCTGTAAATGATTCTAAGACTATACACCATTGCTGTGGTGCATATGTGCTACGTTTTCTAAATTATTTCCTACCGTATCGTGCATATTTTATCCGTACATACCCCGATACGGCCCTTACCTGGAGCCCTGATTAAGACATTAAGAGATGAAGCTGTTGTTATCGTGCCTGGGGTTCATCAATAACAAAAATAAAACAAGGATTGGTTATGTCAGAGTATACTGTATCTATGTTAAACTATGGCCTGAAGCTCAGTGGAATAGCAGTGTAAAAAGTGAATTTGGCCGTTCAACCTAGTGGTTGATAGCACGAGTGCCGACCCATGCTGTTAGTTACTTGACAATTCAATCAAGAGACAAGTATATCAACCCTTTAAACAATCATAGGTTCCTAGGACCATTTCTCTCCAAGGTTAAACTACAACATCAAGCCTCAGTGGATATGCTTTTAGCAATATTCCAGCAATATCATGGCAGAAGACGCCAGAAATGGGCTTCACACATTGTACCTGTGTGGGCTATCAAACCCAGGTCTTTCAGGAGGATGAGCAAATGCTTTAACCACTGGGCTACCCCACTGCACACTAGAACAAAGATGAGTTCAGTAAAAGCAGCCAAGACCACCTGAAGCATGCATACTCATCGCCTCAAAACCTTTTCAAGTCTGTCCTTAAGCCCATCTCTTCCGCACAGCATTCCACTTGACACAATTAAAACCCCGTTTACTCGGACCCCGTATATCTGGAAACCTCACCTTCCGGATGATTTTTAGGTGAAAAACAAAACTTGCCTTCAGTAATTGTACTCGCTAAGCCTGATCCCGTGCTTCTGGACTCGGATGGAGAAGTTTCAATCGATTCCCGTAGATTTCCATTTAAAAATGATCCAGTTATCCAGACGGTAAGATCTGGGCACATGCGCGTGTGTACATATATGTTTCACGTCAGTATTGTTTACCGGACGACTAATTATATTCAGTGTTAATCTCTCTCGGCATGCGTTTGATGTGAAGTACCCATCAAAACACTAGGGATGCGTGTCACTTCAGTTGTGGCAGGTGTGAGAGCATCTCATCAGTAACGAAGGCACATGTTAATTCGGATTAGGATTAAGCTGAGCTGCAGAATTTGATGCAGCAGTTACCACTGTCAATGCGTTTTGCTTGTTTGATCGAGTTAACCGGACCCCCTGCTATCCGGATGATTTCCGAGTGTACCCAAAATGTCCGGATAAATGGGGTTTGACTGTATATATGTACATTGCACCAGTGAGCACCTAACTAGGCACTTTAGAAATAAATTATTATTATTATTACTGTGATTTAACTTCAATAATCATAACCATAACTTTAATCACAAAGTCACCTCACCAGGCTTAACATAATTCCAGCTCCCGCAACTTTCTCAATCCCGACCAACACCTGAGCGCCTAGTATTATCCTTGACATAACACTGACAATAAGTTCTGCCATTGACAGGGTATCTCGTCAGTATATACAAGGATCGTGACGAGGGCTTCCGCATCCTAGTGGACAGCATCGTGACATGTGACAATGCATCCTCAATCCCACTACTGGCCGACAAACTGCGTGTAATTCTCAATGGAAAGTGGCAGGACTGTGTCGTCTTCGCTAACGGAAACATCTGGCTGCCTGAAAAGAAACTTACCAAAAAGTTTGAGGAATTGATTGGCACTGAGGTATGTCATTTGCATAAAGCTGTAAGAAAGATGATTATATTTGCTATTTTCTTTGTTACCCTCCAATACAAGGATTATCTATTAAGTTGTTGGGTATTTGCACTTTTTCATTCAAATGGGGTATGGGTTTTCTTTGGATACTTAGTATTTCCTGTCATAAGCGCCTGGGTGCTTATGTTTTCAACAGACTTCCAAACCTGCAAGTAATAGAGGCCAGGCGCTTATTGCGTTTAATGGGTGTGATTAATTATTTTATAATTTAGATACCTGGTTTTGCTATTTCAAACCGATGATAAGACATTATTAAGTGCTTTCTTAGGTATTGTCTAATTTTACGTGCCGCCCAAAATGTGAGATTTCCATAAGGTCACAACATTCACTTTCCAAACGTGATTGTTGTAGGAGGTGACTAAATAAATTCCATGTCATCGTGTCCCAAATGTGTGGATCGATGCTCATGACATCAAGCAGTGGATGGACCCGTGAAGATCGGGGTTCGAATTGATCTTCAGTAACCCATGCTTGTCGTAAGAGGCGACTAACGGGATCAGGTGGTCGCTCGCTGGCTTGGTTGACACATTTCTCGGTTCCCAATTGCACAGATCGATGCTGATGCTGTTGATCTGGTCCAGACTTGATTATTTACAGACCGCCGGCATATAGCTGGAATATTGCTGAGTGCAGCGTTGATCTGGTCCAGACTTGATTATTTACAGACCGCCGGCATATAACTGTAATATTGCTGAGTGCAGCGTTGATCTGGTCCAGACTTGATTATTTACAGACTGCCGGCATATAGCTGGAATATTGCTGAGTGCAGCGTTGATCTGGACTTGATCAGGTCCAGACTTGATTATTTACAGACTGCCGGCATATAGCTGGAATATTGCTGAGTGCAGCGTTGATCTGGTCCAGACTTGATTATTTACAGACTGCCGGCATATAGCTGGAATATTGCTGAGTGCAGCGTTGATCTGGTCCAGACTTGATTATTTACAGACTGCCGGCATATAGCTGCTGAGTGCAGCGTCTGATCTGACTTGTTATTTACAGACTGCCGGCATATAGCTGGAATATTGCTGAGTGCAGCGTTGATCTGGTCCAGACTTGATTATTTACAGACTGCCGGCATATAGCTGGAATATTGCTGAGTGCAGCGTTGATCTGGTGAGCATATTGAATATTGCGACTGCCGGCATATAGCTGGCTGAGTGCAGCGTCCTTGATTATTTACAGAGCCGGCATATAGCTGGAATATTGCTGAGTTGATCTGGTCCAGACTTGATTATTTACAGACCGCCCGGCATATAGCTGGAATATTGCTGAGTGCAGCGCTGGTCCAGACTTGATTATTTACACCGAATATAGCAATATTGCTGAGTGCAGCGTTGATCTGGTCCAGAAATTATTGAACAAATATACAACAAGTTGTGTCTTTATCAGCAGTTCATTCACCTTTCAGACTTGGAGTGAGATTGAGGTTGATCTTCGCTCCAACGTTCAGATCCATGTTTATCGGGAGTCTGACATCCCCAACCGTCATGGTCACTGCAACTCTAACCCCTACATCCCCAATGTGTTGAGGGAAAAGCTGGGTATGCCGCTTCTTGACGGATCTACTGCCAGGAGGACAGATCTTAGACGTATTAGGGGACTCACCAAATAAAACTTTGTACTGAATGCCATTGGTGTGTCAGAGATGAACTTTTGAAAATAATGACTGCGGTGAATGCTAAATATTGGAATTTGGCTATGTTGACGAATCACTTGTAAAGATGTGATGAATGTCCAAGATTGGAACAGGGCTGTGTTGAAGCATCACTGGTATAGACTTTGTAATGAATGCCCGATCAACAAGATCGTTTTTGAATCATCACTTAAAATGATTTTGTGATGAATGCTAAAGATCAAAACATGGCCATTTTGAAAGCATCTCTGGTTAACTCCAGAGATGCAACCATGGCCGTGTGTAAAGTAAACTCAGTACTAAAGTCTGCAATACTAAATATTAAAGGTTGCGGTGGGGTAGCCTAGTGGTTAAAGCGTTGGCTCGCCACGCCGAAGACTCGGGTTCGATTCCCCACATGGGTACAATGTGTGAAGCCCATTTCTGGTGTCCCCCACCGTGATGTTGCTGGAATATTGCTAAAAGCAGCGTAAAACCAAACTCAGTCAGTCAGTCAGTGTTTCTACTTTTCTACCAAATTTCTAACTGCTGCAATCAGCCTTTCTCTGTGATGACAATTTGTTTTGTATTATAAATGTTGCATTGTATTGTTTGTTGTTAGCATAATTTCATGTTGATGTAGTCACTGATAATTTTTGTGCTGTTTTTATTCTGAGAAGTATTTTTAAATTTGAAAATGTGCAATAATATTTATTCTAAATTGTTGGGGTGGCATATTGTTGGTATATTGGTCTACTGAGGTTCAATATTTACATAATATGTATTACAATAGTGTTTAAATGTTCAGTATATTAGGTGATTGCAAATAGTGATTTTTGTCTTGTATTTAATGTTATTGATACTGCCAAGAAAGTTTATAATATTCCTGTAATTTCAAAATGCAAGTTCGCAAGGATAGGAAGTGAATTTCACTTATAGTGTGGATGTGCATTTCTATACTTCCATCGACCACAGCCGGGTCTCGATGATGGTAGCATGGCTGGTTGTCATCAGCATCTTGGGGCTGGTGAGATAGCCTAGTGGTTAAAGCGTTCGCTCTTCACACTGAAGACACGGGTTCGATTCCCCACATGGATACATTGTGTGAAGCCCATTTTATAATTTTTTTATAATTTATCCCCTGCCATGATATTCAGGAAGATTGCTAAAAGCGACGTAAAACCATACTAGCATCGTTCTAAATTTATTTATTTAGGTTCTCTCATCAGCATCTTGTTTTGTTCTATTTATTAACTTCAATTCATGAAGTGATGTTTCTGATTGCTTCTGAATTAAACATTTATACAACAGTATCATGATGTGTTTCTCAATGCAGCCGTGTGTATCACAGTATAACCTCCAATACCCATCCCTATCAAATTTTGTGTAGATTGTATATTGTCTGAAAACATTTAGGATACTAGCTCCCTTGTTTTATGTTTAAGTATAAATATATTTCAACTAATATGATTTTTATATTTATTATTATTTAGTCAAATGTGCTCATGTTAATTTGATATATAATGTGATACGTATTACCTGTTATGTTTTACTTGTTTTGTCATGTGTAATGAGAGATGTTCTTAAAAAACATCCAGTTGCCTTTTCTTCAATTCTTCAAATATTATGGAGAAGACATTGCTTGTTTTGACCATGTTTGTTTATATTTTGATAATTAAAATCTTTATTATGTTTTGCCTTGAATTATGCTTCATATTAATTATTGTTCATTTTCCTGATCTGATACTTTATGAGAAAGTGAGTGTATGAATATTGTTTATGCATTAGTGAGCAATATTCCATCGTGATGGCATGTGAAGAGCCAGATTTGGAAAAGACAAGACAGAGCGAATGTGGCATCTCAACCCACATCTCAACCCACGCCAGCGGATCTTTGCAAAGCAAAGGGAGGCAACTGTGCAGATAACCTATTTGAAGTTGGAACAGTATATACAATGTATACACCAGGATATAACCAACGAATGTAAACACTGGTAATCATTCTTGCAAACCAAGCAGAGAAACGGGCAGTCCCACTTGGGAACAATGTGTGAAGCTATTCCTGGTGTTCTCCGCACTCATATTGCCGGAATATGGCTCACTGACTCTCACCAACTAGAAGAGAGACCGAAATAGATTAAGAAAAGCACGTAAGTTGACATAAGACATATTGAACCTTGCTAATAAGTTCTCATCTCCCCATGCTAATGTTCATCCTAAGAGCCAAGCAATGATCATGACGTTCATCAAGTCAATAAACGCATCTACAGTAAACTGATATTGTTGTCTGGTTTGCCATTAGTATTAATTCAGTGTGAGTTTGCAATGCAATATATTCCTGCAGTCAATACTGAAAGCAAAATTTGTCATTCCCGATGAGTTGATGAGAAAACCCCCATGATCAGCCATACACCTGATTAGGGTTTATCAGTTCATTCACACGTGACTAACATATTAGACAACACAGGTTGCAGTGTCAGGGAAAGATGTTACCTTGGACTGTGATAACGCCTGCATTGAGGCTGAGTCTGTCCCATCTCTCAAAAGTAAAGAGGCCCGTTTAAGGTGACGACGTTAACAATATATGGAAACATGATAAAATCTTCAGTACATGCTTTTAAGTATGCAGTCATTAGCAGTGTAACAATGTTAGCTGCAACAATGTTAGCTGTAACAATGTTAGTTGCAACAATGTTAGCTGCAACAATGTTAGCTGCAACAATGTTAGCTGGAGCAATGTTAGTTGCAACAATGTTAGCTGCAACAATGTTAGCTGCAACAATGTTAGCTGCAACAATGTTAGTTGCAACAATGTTAGCTGTAACAATATTAGTTGCAACAATGTTAGCTGTAACAATGTTAGCTGCAACAATGTTAGCTGTAACAATGTTAGTTGCAACAATGTTAGCTGCAACAATGTTAGCAATGCAAACAATGTTAGCTGCAACAATGCAACAATGTTAGTTGCAACAATGTTAGCTAGCTGTAACAATGTTAGCTGCAACAATGTTGGAGCAATAATGTTAGCTGTAACAATGTTAGCTGCAACAATGTTAGCTGCAACAATGTTAGCTGCAACAATGTTAGCTGTAACAATGTTAGCTGTAACAATGTTAGTTGCAACAATGTTAGCTGCAACAATGTTAGCTGGAGCAATGTTAGCTGTAACAATGTTAGCTGCAACAATGTTAGCTGCAACAATGTTAGCTGCAGCAATGTTAGCTGTAACAATGTTAGCTGCAACAATGTTAGCTGCAACAATGTTAGCTGCAACAATGTTAGCTGCAACAATGTTAGCTGGAACAATGTTAGCTGCAACAATGTTAGCTGTAACAATGTTAGCTGTAACAATGTTAGCTGCAACAATGTTAGTTGTAACAATGTTAGCAACAATGTTAGCTGCAGTTAGGTAATAATGTTAGCTGTAACAATGTTAGCTGTAACAATGTTAGCTGGAGCAATGTTAGCTGCAACAATGTTAGCTGCAACAATGTTAGCTGGAGCAATGTTAGCTGCAACAATGTTTAGGATTCTATCACTTTTGTCCATTTGTTTATGTATATTTATAAACGTTCATTTAGATTTATTGCAACCTTTATTAGGCCCCTTTGCTTGTCGCGAGGGTCAGTTTTAATGTTATATCACCTGATCAGTGTGTCCCTGATATCATAGCCCGGCTGCACCCCACAGTGAGTAGAAGGTAAAACTTTGCTTTGTTTGTTGTGTTGTGTGGGAGTATGCACTTTAAATTTTGTAAATATTTTCTCAAAACAAAACAGTATACTCCAAAGTTTATGGTTTATGGTGAATTGGGCAGATATCCTCTTGTTAAAAGTCAAAATCATCAACTACGGGTGTTTAGTTAAAACAGACACTGGTAAACTTGTCCATATTCTTTAGAACATTATGGAATTTCGTCCGTCTCCCCGGATGCTGATTTCGACAAACTAAAAGTAGTCAAAAAAATTCTTCGAAACGTTGAGCTCTGTTATATTTATTAAAAAAATTCACTTTAGATCTCTCATCAACATTGCGTATCTGGTTAACCAAATTAAGAACTTCTAATCCTAGATTACTTATTGAAACGTGAAAATGGTTTAATATGAATCTTGAAAACAGAACGTACAATTTGTAAAAATAGTGTTATTTGTGGCGAGTGTGATGTTTTTATCATGTGCACATCTAAATGTGGGCCAGACTGTTCGACCATGGGCGATGTAGTTTATATTTTCAGTTTTCGAAGTAACTTTGTTAATTTTTCATCCTTAGAATCTATTCATGATAACAGCACGTTGAATTTTGTAAAAGCTTTTGTCAGAAACTGGCCACAGTGCAGAGAGTTTCGGGACTTTTGGGTTTCCAGAATTAAATAATGATGTGTTAAAGTTATTTGCGTAAAACGTAAAAGACATCTTCTATCAAAGCGTTAAATAGTTCTAATAGTAAAATATTCCGTTTTAGGAATCACAAATATTGAATATACAATTAAAATAACATTTTCCAGTTGCAGTAAATCCTGAAACATACAAAAACCTGACTGAAATATACTATTGGAATAAAGTAACGGTGCATTATCTGGTGTTATGTAACATTTTATCGCAAAAGGATAACATGATTTGTTGTGTTTTCCTTAAACTCTGTTTAACTGTCGACAAATTGCACGTGCCATGCGCGATATGTGACATCAAATTTCATGCAAAGTGTTTTGCGACGTGTGTATTTAGAGTTATTTTTAAAACCTTTCAAAAACTTTTTGTATGCAATTTTATGTTATGCACAGTTATTTTTCCCTTTAGCATATAACCGTTTTAAGAACTCTTGATTTAATACCCCAATCATTATGCGCATTCGTATTGGTTTGTCTTATTTTCGCACATGACTATCATGGGGGGGTGAGGGACGAGTCTTCTCGGAGGTTACTATATGTGCGTGCATTACGAGCTCTTTGTTTTTAAAACTTGTGCCTTTGGGCGTGTTCTGGATTGTGCATAGTATTGTTGTAGCTCATTCTTTTAAATTGTAGATGGCAGTGTGATGTTGGAGTATGTATATGGAAACGTGTGTGTTAAGGATGGGCTCGTGTATATACATGAAGTTGGTATAGTCGCGAAGTGGCTGAAAAAATGCCACTGCAACGCAACATCTGAACTCACTCACTCTTTGGTTACGACAAATGGCTCATACACCAGTATAAAATTGTCACGGAATAACACGAGTTAGTCACGCATCGTTCTTCTGAACCAAATCATACAAAGAACATTAATAAGGCTTGTGAAAACAAGGTACAAAGGAGGACAACACTCAACGAGCTATATACAGAGAATCCATACAACCCAGTGTAAGTGTGCATTCCTAGTTTATACCAACCCAGTGTAAGTGTGCATTTCTGGTTTATACCAACCCAGTGTAAGTGTGCATTCCTAGTTTATACCAACCCAGTGTAAGTGTGCATTCCTAGTTTATACCAACCCAGTGTAAGTGTGCATTCCTAGTTTATACCAACCCAGTCTAGTTTATACCAACCCAGTGTAAGTGGGCATTCCTAGTTTATACCAACCCAGTGTAAGTGTGCATTCCTAGTTTATACCAACCCAGTGTAAGTGTGCATTCCTAGTTTATACCAACCCATTCCTAGTTTATACCAACCCAGTGTAAGTGTGCATTCCTAGTTTATACCAACCCAGTGTAAGTGTAAAGTCTGCATTCCTAGTTTATACCAACCCAGTGTAAGTGTGCATTCCTGGTTTAGTGTAAGTGTAAGTGTGCATTCCTAGTTTATACCAACCCAGTGTAACCCAGTGTGTGTGCATTCCTAGTTTATACCAACCCAGTGTAAGTGTGTTCCTGGGTTTATACCAACCCAGTGTAAGTGTGCATTCCTAGTTTATACCAACCAACAGTGTAAGTGTGCATTCCTAGTTTATACCAACCCAGTGTAAGTGTGCATTCCTAGTTTATACCAACCCAGTGTAAGTGTGCATTCCTAGTTTATACCAACCCAGTGTAAGTGTGCATTCCTAGTTTATACCAACCCAGTGTAAGTGTGCATTCCTAGTTTATACCAACCCAGTGTAAGTGTGCATTCCTAGTTTATACCAACCCAGTGTAAGTGTGCATTCCTAGTTTATACCAACCCAGTGTAAGTGTGCATTCCTAGTTTATACCAACCCAGTGTAAGTGTGCATTCCTAGTTTATACCAACCCAGTGTAAGTGTGCATTCCTAGTTTATACCAACCCAGTGTAAGTGTGCATTCCTAGTTTATACCAACCCAGTGTAAGTGTGCATTCCTAGTTTATACCAACCCAGTCTAGTTTATACCAACCCAGTGTAAGTGTGCATTCCTAGTTTATACCAACCCAGTGTAAGTGTGCATTCCTGGTTTATACCAACCCAGTGTAAGTGTACATTCCTAGTTTATACCAACCCAGTGTAAGTGTGCATTCCTGGTTTATACCAACCCAGTGTAAGTGTGCATTCCTAGTTTATACCAACCCAGTGTAAGTGTGCATTCCTAGTTTATACCAACCCAGTGTAAGTGTGCATTCCTAGTTTATACCAACCCAGTCTAGTTTATACCAACCCAGTGTAAGTGTGCATTCCTAGTTTATTCCAACCCAGTGTATACCAACCCAGTGTAAGTGTGCATTCCTAGTTTATACCAACCCAGTGTAAGTGTGCATTCCTAGTTTATAC